GATGGCTCTATGTGGGTCCCACTGGTTTCTGTCAGTTCTGTGCTGATAGCACTATTGGACAACTTCCAATGTTGAGGAGAAGTAAGCATGTTGCAATACGTTTCCTTGACTGATCAGTGTGTCTATAGCAGCGGTTCTCAACCTGTGGGTCGGGACCCCATTTGGGGTTGAACGACCATTTCACGGGGGTTGCCAAACAACGCAGTCCGCCATTTTCCCCCCTTTTCCTTAGCTGTGCTACTCCCTTTTATTCTATTGGCTTTTGAAAGCCAATAGAATAGACTCTCTTGAATAGAGTCTAATTCTATTGGCTTTCAAAAGCCAATAGGAATTGTCCAGGCTGTCTCTGCCCTGCTGAGCCCGCCAAAAGTCCCATTCTGCAAACGGTGCTGCTGCAAGTTGTCTGCAGCGAAGGCGAGCTGTCTGGAAGTTTCCACCCCTCCCTGCTGAGCAACTACTAAAAATGTAAGTAAAAGAGGGCCAGGGGTGGGAGGCCGGTGGGCGCAGGGAGGGCTGCTGGTGCGCGTGGGGCTGGTGGGTGCCTTACCTCCCTTGGGCTGGGCCAGCCGGTGGTCGGCCTGCGCCATCTCTGCCGCTTGCCACCTATGCCTCAGCCAGCACAGGGGGCAGCACCACGTATGTGCGGCACTCCCGGGCAGGGAAAGTCCTCGACTTATGACTGGTTGGGTAGTCCTCGACTTACAAACGGTTGGGGGGTCACGGCATTAAAAAGGTTGAGAATCACTGGTCTATAGTCATCAACATTGCCCATTTCTTTCTGTTTCTTCAAAACAGCTTGAATAGCGCATCTTGAAACCCCAGTCTGCTTTGAAATCTTTGCCTGGAGAGACCTTGCTGATACACTTTAACTACCAGTTTTGCCATGGTGTATGACCTGTGACATGAAACTGTCTTCCGCAACCTCACCTTAGTAGCAGAGTTGACTGAATTCCTCCCAAGAGGCTGCTGCATGGTATGAGCTTCTTTATTTTCTTACCAATGACCTGCTGATTTTACTGCCAAAGTTATTTCTTTGGTAGTGCTGGTCCCTGGTTTTGAATAGGATCACTTAGGAATGACTCAAGACAACTTTTGGACGATTGTGGACTCAGTTGGGAAAGGGAGCCTTGAAAATTCTAATTCATTTTGGAAGTGATTAAAGTCATTGGGCACATACATTTTCCTGTCAGTAGTTTCGTTGCCTTAAGCATACATGGGTATTAACTTTCACTTTTTGAATTTATTGTTTCATTTTGTTTTCTGCTTTAAAATTTGATTAGTGGTTGAATGCTGATTTATTTCTTACTGGTGTACACTGCTTAGAGAGTGCTTGCACTTGAAGTGGTATACAAGTCTCATAAATAAATAAAATAAATAAATAAATTTCAACCCCTTGCTGGACTCTAATTGTTTTTTTTTTTTGATACATGTTGTTTTGGATAATCTCTATCCTCTCTGTATGGAAGCACTGCAGCTGTTTGGGTGTGTGTGTGAGAAGTGTTTTTAGACTCTCACTAAAGGATATCTGTACTTTTTGAACTTGCAACATATCTAGAGTTTATTTCTACTATTTTTTTCTTTTAACTTGGGATTGAAATATAGAGAAACATATAGAAAATATCCCTTCTTTATTCTTTATTTCCTGATCAAGTTTCACGGACTAAGAAATGGCTGAACAGTGGCTGAAACCTAAGAAAGGAGGGTGGGGAGTTTGCAGCCCCTAACTGAATTTCTTTTTAAAAAGTTTGATGAGATGATAATGATCTTGCAAAATACGCTGGGGCATGGAACTTTGGATAAAGAGACACAAAATGACTTTGATCCAGTTCCAGACTAAAGAGATATTCTCATAGTGAAGAACTAACAGAGTGAATTTCATGTTACTCCAAAGTTTAAATTGGCACATTCCTACAATATTAGGACTTTGACTAAAAGGGCAAGTGACAAATTCCTTTTTCCTACAAAGATTGAGGGAGATGGGATGGACTTATTACAGGAGCCAATATGAGTTGGACACCAGGACTAAAGATTTAGTCTTCTGAGCTTTCATATTAGTGCTGGAGCCTATACTGGAATGTGTACTTTGGTCTGCTCTATGCACTGTATTTATGTGGTGCCTTGTTGAGGCTACCATATGAGGATAAATCAAGCTTTGCAAAAATCGCTTGGAGGTTGGAGATACTTCTGAAGTAATCTACCAGATCCTCTGCATGGATTGCCTCTATGACTATGTAGGACAGACAGGGAGGAAGCAAACCACCAGATTGCAAGAATACAAGTGAGTGGTCAGAAAAGAAGACCTGAACTCATTGCTAGTCTCACATTGCAATGAACAAGTACGTTCAATTTTGCAGCTATTAAAATTATTGGCGGAACAAATGCAAAGATAGCCAAGGAAATGATTCAAGCCAGGAAAATAGGTCCCTTGTCAGCAATAGGAATGTTGATTTACCACCAGCTTATTAGGTACATAGGACTCAAAGACTTGGCAGCACAAGGAAACAACAGCCAATAGCTGGCCATTAACACACCAATTAACCAACAGGAACCCACATCCAACCAAGTGCCATATAAATAGGACACATAGAGCAGCCCAAAGCATATATTCTGATAAAGAGAAGTTCCCTGATGATGGGCTCCAGCACAAATCCAAATGCTCGGAAAACTAAATCTCTGGTCCTGGTGTCCAACCCAGATTGGATCCTGCAACATTATCCTGCCTTCATTGGATTTATTACAGTTAACTAGTAACCACTTCTATTTGGACTTTGATTGTAAGACAGACTTATTCTGGAGACTGAAGCAATTATATTTAAACAACAATTGATAAGAGATGGCATTAAGAAACCAACAAGGATATTTGATCCAGGATAAACTATTTATAACTTTTAGGATAATTTGGGATCGATAAGATGCTGCGGTAAACATTCTACCTGTGGATTACAATAAAGTTTGTTAATAGAGCTGTGGAAGCAGTACATGAGTGTGCATGCGCAGGCAAGTGCGCACGAAGCTCCATTTGTGCAAGTGACTTTGGGGATGTTTATACTTCCTCTGATACCATTAAAACTCCCATATCTATCAGATATTTTAGGTTTTATTTCTGAACATGCCTACCATAACAGTCTTATTACCTATAAGATGATTGCTTTTAAAATATCTACCCACAAAAATTATTTGTTGTGCTTGCTCTATATAATCTGCACAGATTTTTATGGAAGTGTGCATAAAATGAACACTTCAACATTGTGTCAAATTTCAGTAAAATTTAATAAAATTGTTGCAAACTGAAAATGGAGTCTTTGGTGCTCTCTGAGCTTAACTGTTTGCTTGCAGTTGTTTCATTATCAGTGCTAGTGAATGTAGGGTTGCTTGAACAGAAAAGCAGAAAACAACAACCTAGCAAAAATCAATATTTTAATCAAGAAATGATATCCAGGAGAAATCCACATCTCCACCAATACTAGCAAGGCAAGCCACTGTATATTAACAGGGAGCAACTTCCCACACACACACTAGCACTGATTAGGTTACCTAGTCAGATAATGAAAAGTCTGCAGATAAGCAACCAAGCTCAGAGAACATCAAGGATTTCATAGTTCAAACTTGAGCTATTTATTTATTTATTTTTAAAATTTATAAGCCGCCCCACTCCTGCAGGACTCTGGGCGGCTAACAATAAAAGCACCATATAACATGACAAAACAAACAATACAATAACAGTCATCCAGGGATCAGATTTTATAAACCCCAGGCCTGCCGGAAAAGCCAGGTCTTAAGCAGCTTACGGAAAACCAACAGGGTGGGAGCGGTCCTAATCTCCGGGGGGAGCTGGTTCCAAGACGTGGGCGCCATCACAGAGAAAGCCCTCCTCCGCAGCCCTGCCAAATGGCACTGCTTGGCCAACGGGACCTGAAGGAGGCCCAGTCTGTGGGATCTAACCGGACGAAGGGAACTATGAGGTAGTAGGCGGTCTCGCAAATAGCCTGGCCCTGAGCCATATAGGGCTTTAAAGGTAATAACCAACACCTTGAATTGGACCCAGAGACCAATAGGCAACCAGTGCAGCTCACGGAGGATAGGTGTAACGTGGGTGTACCGAGGAACACTCACTATCACTCGCGCGGCTGCATTCTGGACCAACTGTAGTCTCCAAATACTTTTCAAGGGTAGCCCCATGTAGAGCGCGTTGCAGTAGTCCAGACATGAGGTGACAAGGGCATGAGTGACTGTAAGGAGAGCCTCCTGGTCCAGGTAGGGTCGCAACTGGTGCAACAGACGGACTTGTGCAAAGGTCCTCCCAGCCACAGCCATCAAATGATGTTCCAAATTCAGCTGTGGATCAAGGAGGACACCCAAGTTGCGAACCCGCTCCGAAGGGGGTATATTTTCCCCTGCTAGAGTCAACACTGGACAGTTAACATGATCCTTGGGAGGCAACATCCAAAGCCACTCGGTCTTGTCAGGATTGAGCCTGAGTCTGTTAACCCCCATACAGACCCTCACGGCTTCAAGACAACGGCCCATCACATCAGCCGCTTCACTGAGAGAGCTCAGGGAGGAGATATATAACTGGGTATCATCCGCATACTGATGAAACCTCACCCCGTGCTGTCTGATGATCTCACCCAGCGGCTTCATATAAATGTTAAATAGGAGGGGGGAGAGGACCGACCCCTGCGGCATGCCACATTCAAGGGGCCTCGGGGTTGACCTCTGCCCTCCCACCAATACTGATTGCGACCGGCCAGAGAGGTAGGAGGAGAACCACCGTAAAACGGTGCCTCCCATTCCCACCCCTTCAAGTCGTTGCAAAAGGATACCATAATCGATGGTATCAAAAGCCGCTGAGAGGTCAAGTAGCACCAAGACAGAGGAATAACCCGTCTCGGGCCCGCCAGAGATCATCCATCAGCGCGACCAAAGCAGTTTCTGTGCTGAAGCCGGGCCTGAAGCCAGATTGAAAAGGGTCTAGGTAATCCGCTTCACCCAGAGACCATTGGAGCTGGAGCGCCACCACTCTCTCTACAACCTTCCCCAAAAAGGGGAGATTGGAGACTGGATGGAAGCTACTATTTATTTATGTATTTATTTGTTCAATTTATTTGCTATCTATCTGATCATGTGGTTATTCTAGGTCAGTGCCCCCGACCTTTTGGGCAGCAGGGACTGGTTCTGTGGAGAAAGGTTTTTTCTGTAAACTGAAGGGGATGTGATTTTACATGCTGCCTGCATCCTGTAGATGGGCTTTGCTTGTTTGCATGGTCTGGTTGCTGGCATGCCAAGGATCAATGCCAGTCCAAAGACTGGGGGTTGGGGACTCTTATTCTAGGTGACTTACAACAATAAAATATATTCTATTAAAAATGCTGAATATAGATGTCAAGCCCCGTGGGCTCGACATTCAAGGGAGGGGGAGAAACCAAAAGCAGCAGCGCATGGACCACCATCGACAGCAGCACCGCCAGTGAACGTAGCACCACCGAACAGCCGGGAGGCCAGTCAGCCTGATTCCGGGGCTGCTGATCAGCTGGCAGTCCTGTACAGCCTCCGCACCACCGGCAGCCATCCGCAGCACTGCTGAGCAGCCGGGAGGCCAGTCGGCCTGGTTTTGGGGTCACCAATCAGCTTGCGGTCCTGTACGGCCTCCGTGCCTTTTGCAGCATTGCCAGACAGATGGGAGGCCTCCGATTGGCTGAGCGCTGCATGGCAAAGGCGACAATGCCAGCAAGTACCGTGGGGTACCCGAGGGTGAAGCAGAGGCTTACCGGAACAGAGAACAGCTCCGACGCTTTGCTGTGCAACGCCAACCAGCAGAGATATGACAGCAGGCCAGGGGGAACCTTTAAAAACAAACACCGGATGCTGGCCTGCTGTATGTGTGTGTGTGTGTGTGTGTGGGGGGGTGGAGCTGCAGGGAGGAAAGTATTTAACGCGCTGGGAGCCAAGCCCTTCCTGTGCTGACTTTGTGAATCATTGGATTAAAGCATTTGTTGAAGTGTTCCTGTGTGCCAGTCACCCTATTCTTCTTCTGCCGTGTCTGAGGAGGCTAGGAAAGCCAGTGCTCATCCCTTTTTGTTACCCTTCCCATTACCCTTGTGTGCTTTCAAGGGAATGGCTGAGGGAATGCAGGAGGCAACACCGGTGGCTGAAGGAGGAGAACCAGCTGAGGCTACCAGGCCAACGTCTGATGCAGAAGGTGGGGAGCCTAGCTGGTGGTAAGGCCCAAGGTGCGGGAGGCACGGCTAGAAGTTCCGGTGAGTGAGGCTCAGGATGCAGGGGCCCCAGACCCTTGGGGGGGGGGTAATGGCACAGCTCAGTGATCACCAACCCGGACGCTGGTTGTGCACACACACCGGGGGCTGCAGAACCTCTGATGGAGTGGGGGGAGAGGTGTCTCACAGATGAGGATGACAGGGAATGGAGCTACTCCACGGCACCTGGACAAACCACCATAGACATCCTGAGGGATAGGTATGGTGAGGCCGGATTCCAGGACTCATTCCCATGGTCAAGATGGGAAGCGGGCCGTGAGATGACTTCATAGTTCTGGACAGAGACACAGCCATCCAGGTAAGGCCCACCTCGGTTCCATTTAGCCAGCCCTAGGTTCAGGGTGGCTCCCTAAGTCGGAGGCTCCGATCTAGTAGGACCAGCAGACCAAACACGGCCTCTGTGGGAAGGCAGATCGGTAATGGATGCAGGCAGAGTGCCCACTCATACTGATGAGTCCATAGACAGGGTGTCAGGGGGAATACAGGGCCCTGATTGATTCTGGCTGCACCCGCTGCCTGATTAGTAAGGGCGTTGTGGCTGAGGCCGGGATTGGGGTGCGGCAGCTGGCCAACCCTATTAAATTTGAACAGGTGGATGGATCCCTTCTGGGGGGGAGGCTACCCTTGTAACGGAGCCTGTTAGCCTAGGGATGGGGGCCCATTGGGAGGTTCTCTGGTTTATCATGGTTCCTTCCATGACCGAGGCCATGATCCTAGGACTGGCATTGTTGGACAAGTGGGACCCTACGATTTGGTGGGAAGGGGGATACCAAAAACTGCGGACTGGGATCAGTCCCCAGCCACCAGACCAAGACCCAGAGAAAGGAGATGGAGAAGGGAGTAGGATGGCAATCGCAAGTCAAGAGAGTACCAGGGGGAAACCCTCCTTTCCAGCAGTGTATGCCGACCTTGCTGAGGTGTTCAGCGAGGAGGAGTGTGATGTCCTGCCTCCTCACCGGCCAACTGACTGTGCAATCAACAACTGCCCAAACCCTGGATGACGCCCAGGGAGATGTAGGAGCTGCGTCGATATACTGACCGGAACCTGGTGAGGGGCTTTATCCAACCGGCCCATTCATAGATAGCAGCTCCTGTTCTGTTCAAAGAGAAGAAAGACGGCTCCTTGAGGTTGTGTGTTGACTTCCGTGGCATCAGTGGAGTTTGTGTGGAGAACATGTACCCCCTGCCACTCTTGAAAGACTTGTTAGCCCATCTGGCAAAGGGAAAGGTGTTCACCAAGCTGGACTTATGGGAGGCATATTACAGGGTCCGCATCAGACAAGAAGATGAGTGGAAGATAGCCTTCAACTGCCCACTTGGTAGCTACCAGTTCAGGGTGATGCCATTTGGGTTGCAGGGGGCCCCCGTGGTATTTATGCAGCTCATCAATGAGGTGCTGCATGAACACCTATACTGTGGAATGCTAGCATACCTGGTCAACATCTTAATATACACTTCCACCGTGGAGGAACACATCTGATTGGTGAGACAGATGCTGGAGAAACTGTTGAAAGCACAACTGTTTGTAAAACTCTCTAATTCTACCAAACTTGGCTGGACTATCTGGGCTACAGGATATCAGGGGCAGGGGTGGAAATGGACTCTAACAAGGTCAGGGCTGTGCTAGAGTGGCAAGCGCCACGGACCCATTGTCAACTGCAGTTTCCTAGGGTTTGCCAACTTTTATCGGCAGTTTATCTTGTTTGCAGCGGTAGCTCTACCCCTGACATACCTGCTCCGCACACGACAAACTGCAATGAAGCCACGGCCCGGTCAGCCACTAGTGTGGACCATGGCATGCCAAAAGGCCTTTGAGGACCTAAAGGTCCTGTTTGCAAGGGAGCCGGTCTTGCTCCACCCAAGTCCCGACATGCCAGTTGTGGTGCAGGCAGAGGCCAGTGACATCGCGATGGGAGCAGTGTTACTGCAAAAGAACAGCCAGGGGTGTTACAGCCCTGTGCCTATATGTCACGGAAACTGATGGAAACTGAGAGGGCATGGGCCATTTGGGAGGAGGTGTTTGCCATATGGTGGCCGTTGTCCACATGGCGACACCTACTAGAGGGGGAGAAGAAACCATTTGAGGTCTGAACAGACCATAAGAACCTCGAGGTGTTGCAGTCATGGAGGCACTTGTCTCCCAAACATATCTGTTGGGCGCAGTACTTCCAACACTTCCGTTTCTGTTTGAGGTATGTACCAGAGGGGAAGAACTTTCTTGCCAATGCTCTGTCACAAATGCCTCAATATGATAATAAGCGGGAGGAGGTAGTACAGGCAATCATGCCCCCCTACCGGCAAGCTGCAGCGTGGGTGGTACTGCATAACCTGGCTGTCAACCTGGTCCAGGAGCTGCACAAGGCAGTCCAGGATAACCCCTGGTCACAGGAACATCCAGGCCTACTGACATGGAGTGATGACCTAGCATGGAAAGGCAACAAGCTGTATGTCCCACAGGCTCTATGACAGGGAGTGTTACAATGGTACCATGACGTAAAGCAAGCGGGACATTTCGGGTTCCTTAAAACCCTACATCTGGTGCAGGGACTGGTAAGGATGCTGACAATAGACACATTTGTATCTTTTCCTCCAAATAGTCATAAGCTACTCATGCTTCTTGAGGAAAGCAATTCACTGTATTGGGGATGTTTTGAGAAGTTAAGGCACACTTAAAAAAAGCATTACTTTTTGCAACATCTTCAAAATTATATAGGTATTACCTAGATAAAACCAATATTTTAAATTTGTCCAAATAAGTATTTCTTATTTGAACCTTAGTAACATAATTTGTTTATACTTCCAATAAGATCATACAAAAAACGTACACAACAATTTAATTATATCACGATACAAATACCCAAACACAAATATATTTTCCCACAATTAGCTGTGTTATTCAAATCAGACATATTTAATGGTTAACCAGGTGCATAAGCAACCTAATTTCTTTTCCTGTAAAATTGAACAGGAAGCACATGGTAACAAATATATATATATTATGGTTACCTCAAATGTCGCCTTCATGCCGTCTGATATTAAACAACAAGATAAGGTTGTACCATTGCAAGGTAAGCTGTTATCTCTGTTAGATTTATATTTAAAATATTTATATATAAGAAAATAAGTTAGAGAAGTCGCCACCTTTTAAAAGAATGACGTTGAAAAGTGTATATACTTTTTCAAATATGTTATATTTTAAAAAGTAGAGTGCTTTTATTTTTTATAAATCCCACATTCTTAAATCTCACTTTTCATATATCCACTTCTATAGCTTTTAAATAACTGACTCATTTTCTTTTCAAAGAATATTGGCTGTAAAAATGCATCAGTACTGCAATGTATCTATTTGCAAAAGGGGAACAAACAAATCCAAGCATTATTATCAAAAGATGCCATTAATCATCAGTTAACTCCATCTTCCTATGATTATTACGCATATTCAACTTAAAAATGCTATTCTTATTTTGTTTTACTTATTCTTAAAGTATTTGATGAGTTTTATAAAAGTAGATCAAAAATAGAAATACCAAAAGATAAAAACATAATTAAAGTGTAATTGTCAAATGAAGTATACAACAGTGCATTCTCCCCTTCATTTCCCCCTGACCAGTACTTAGATATTTATACTTTGCTTTAAAGTTTTAGAGTTGTTGTTTATATCTATGTAAATCATTTTTCAACCCTGAACTATAAATACTCTCCTCTTTAGTAAATCATTTTTTCAGCTTCTTTTTAACCACCTGAAAATCCTTACTGGATGACTACTTATGTTTTTTTGTGGCTTTTACTTATGTATAGTGATGTATATATAAGTGCATAATACAATTATTATGTACTTACACATACTTGATCAGCTACATGATCTCATACCTTAATTCAGAATTAATATAGTAGAAACATATTTCACTATGAAGGTTCAGATTGTGTCTTGGGTTGATGATTGTTGGTTCCTTTTATGAAACTAGATTTTACCTATGATTACAGCCATAAAACATAGATTTAAAAAAGTGAATAGATCTATTTTCTGGGCACACTGGGGATTCAAGATATTAGCATTTTGGATCAATTCAGTTCTGGGGAAACTGCTTTTAAAACGTCTATAGAAGTTTGATTTATATTACTTTTTTAACTGAAATACTTGATAATTGGACTCTTTGGTTATGATGCCATTATTGCTTTTGAACTTCTAGATTTTAGAGAATTCAAGTGAAATGTATAAGCCCATAAATTATGTTTTAACATGTTCAAAGAACTGAAGAAACTGACTTTATGCTATCTTTGGAAATAGTTTATTAAGATTAACTAGTCAAAGACTGTTATTCAAAGTATGCAATTTCCTTTGATCTTAATAGTAAAAATATTTTGTATGTTTTGTACATTTCAGAGAATGTTTAATAAGAGTTGGCTTTTATTGCCTTGTTATTGAAGGGCAATTTCAAAATTGGAACCTTAAATGGTTTTTATTTATTCTACTCTTGTCACATATGGGGGCTAAAATCAATAGGGTTGTTAATATGATTTGGATCAATTAATACAATTAATAATCGTATTAAAACTGCATATCATCTTTTTGCCTATGTTTTCTATATGTGAAATTTAACAAGCTATTAACAGTTGTGAACTTTTTGGATTCAGGGCTGAATGTGACGTAATTGGAAAGATCCAAAGCGATCTGCCATAGTATATTGCTTGTAAACAACCACATTCTTTATTTTTTTTAACAGAGGACAAAACGAGAAGACTTCTGAATAGTTTCCTCTTGGAAAACAGAGGTAATTTATGATGTAATCTTTTCTTTTTTATTTTCTTCAAATATCATTATTTTAGTGTTGCTTTACATTGTTAATACTATTATATGAATGTTTTTCTTATAAAGTAGTCTGATACAACTATACACTCTCAAACTAAGGAAATTAAAATGAAGAACTGTAGCAGCCTTCCCCAGTCTGATCATTCCCACCTGTATCTAGACTGCAATTGCCATCTCTGCACCTCCAAGCTGGTGAAGCATGATAGAAACTTCCCAATAATAAATAGGGAAAATTGCATTGTAGATTTATCATGTGAACCATTTTCCAATATATATTCTTACAGGTATTAAAGAAAGGAAGGAACGCAAACATGGAAGAAGATTATTACGATGCATTTCTTAGCAACAACACTTCTGATGAAAGTTACTCATATGAAACCTTTTTGGGGTTCAAGCGAGTTTTCCTTGTCTGCATGTATTCATTTGCCTGCATCTTTGGAGTGACAGGGAACTCTTTGGTTATCATAATTCTGGTTTTTTACAAAAAAGTGAAAATGCTTACAGACATATTTTTAGTGAGCCTGGCTATTGCTGATTTCAGCTTTCTTTGCACGCTGCCCTTCTGGGCTTATTCTGCTGCAGAAGAGTGGATCTTTTATACTCTCCCATGTCAAATCATCCTTGGTTTTTACACCTTGAATCTGTATGGTTCTATGTTAACTCTCACTTCTATAACTGTTGACAGATATTTTGTAATTGTGCAAGCAACCAAAACCCGTATCAGTCAACACAAAAGAAGATTCTGGGGTATTGTGGTCTGTATTTCAATTTGGATAATCTCTCTGCTGCTTGCTTTGCCGCAGTTCATCTTCAGTATAGAGGAAAAGTTAGACAAAAAGATATGTTTTGCAAATTATGCTTCCCCATCTATTCAGCTGTTCACCGAAACAATTCAGATGACACTTGGATTCTTCTGTCCTATGCTCTTCATGATTATATGCTATTCAATCATTGTAAAAACTTTACTCAGTGCTAAGGGCTTCCACAAGCACAAATCCTTACAAATAATATTTGCTATTATTGTAACTTTCATTTTGACACAAATGCCCTACAACCTTTTGAAACTCATGCGGGCCTCAGACCGTAATATCATGCTCGACTATAGGTTTGAGTACGCTTTGATCATCACAGAAGCAATTGCTTATTTCCATGGTTGCCTCAACCCAGTTCTCTATGTCTTTATTGGTGAGAAGTTTAGAAAGAACTTAGCAAAAGTTCTAAAAAATAATTGTTGTGTTAAACATCAAGTTACAAGACAGTGGCATACAACTGATGAAAATGGCTCCAAAAGTGGTACTGCCACAAATAATGCAGAGGAAACAAGCATGGTTCCCTTATAAGAGACCTGAGACATATTCATATCTTCAGGCTGATTTCAGTTCTAGTTTCCCTGAGCACTCATGAAAACAAGCAAGTTTCTAAATAGCTATCACGACTGTAAAATAGTAGTTTTCTGGCAAAAAAAAATGAACAGAATCTCACTGCAGCCTCAATTCTTATGTTATAGATTTCATCTGAGGAAATAAAGACAAAATAAAAATATGCTAAATTATATAGCAGTTTTAGAACAAATTCTAAAATGCTTAGGCTAAATCTTGGCATCTTTTAATTGTAATCTATTGCTATTTTGAAATGCACTGCCAGAAATTAAGAGTAGTTTGAAGAAATCACTAATATTTTAGCTTGCCTTTGTTCAATATAAGAACCTATTCACATTAATCACTGATATTTCTATACAGCTTAAAGGAGAGCCTAATACATGTATTTGTTTTTCTTCTGCTTTTCATAGTGAAATATGCTTTACCCTGACTACAATATTGATCTATACAGACCTTCTATTCCTGCTGATAATAGATTCATGAGATATTGAGTAAAAGAGCGTTCATAAACTTTGTTCCCTCAATTTAAAACCAATTGTATGGCACCTAATTCAGTTACAGAATGTTGCCTGGCTATTATTATTAAATAAAATAATATGACTAAATAAACAGTTGGCATCTACTGAAATAACTCTAAATTCTATTTTCCCATTTGCAGATAGGGAGGGAAGGGAAAGAAACACTTTAGGCCAGGCTTTGCCTCGGACATTTTCTCTGGTTTTCACACAATTCTAAAATGTAATTTGATTTATATGAGATCTTCCCTTTGTTGATTGGTAGAAATGAAAAAAACTGGCCAAAGAAATCAGTATCTTCAAGATTATGCCTGAGTTTATTATACATTATTTTGCAGTAAGTCCTATGGAATTCACTACCGCTTTCTCTGTCCGCAGCAGTCAGATTCGTCCTGTCAAACCTAGCAGACAACTTTACCTCCCAAAAAGTAGAGAAGGGAACTAGGGGATTAGCTATTTTGGAGCTAATTCTCACTAACAGATGAAATGATAGAAGGTGTTGAAGCCACAGGAACCTTGGGAGGAAGTGATCAAGCAATATTGGAATTCAATATTATGGAAGCACAAGCAATAGAACACAGTCAAACTAGACTCTTGGACTTCAAGAGAACTAATTTCAAAAAACTGAGAGAGGGCTTGGGAAGGATTCCATGGATGAGAATCCTCAAGGTGAAAACAACTCAAGAAGCTTAGGAAATTTTGAAAAGTGTGGTAATAAAAGCCCAGTCTAGCACAATACCAACAAAGAAGAAAAATAACAGCTCTCAAAAGAAACCAGCATGGCTGCATAAAGAACTCTCTGATCAATTGAAAGATAAAAAAGACAAGTATAGAAAGTGGAAAGGGGGACATAACTAAGGCAGAATACCAGCAAATAGCCCGAGCCTGCAAAGATGAAGTAAGGAAAGCTAAGGCTCAAAATCAACTAAGGCTTGAGACCAAAGTCAAAAATAACAAAAAAAGCTTCTTTCAACATATAAAAAACAAGAAACAAGTGAAAGAAATGATTGGTCCATTAGTGGGTGAAAGTGGTAAGAAGGTAACTAGCAATAGGGAGAAAGCAGAACTATTTAACTCGTTTTTTGCATCTGTCTTTACACAAAGGGAAAAAACAGACCAACTTATCAAACACAAGTTAAGATAGGCAAGAAAATGGTAAGTGAGCACCTGTCTAGCCTAGACGAGTTCAAATCACCAGGACCAGATGGATTACACCCCAAGGTTCTCAAGGAACTGGCAGATGTGATCTCAGAACCACTGAACTATATTTTCAAAGATCCTGGAGCACTGGGGAACTACCAGAGGACTGGAAAAGAGCTGATGTAGGTCCCATCTTCAAAAAAGGAAAAAAATTGGATCCAGGAAACTACAGACCTATCAGCCTGACCTCAATACCTGGGAAGATTCTGGAAAAGATAATCAAACAACAACTCAGCAGCACCTAGAGACAAACAAAGTCATTACCAAATGCCAACATGGGTTTGTCAAAAACAGATCATGCCAGACAAATCTTATTGCATTCTTTGACCAAATTAGTGGACCAGAGGAATACTGTGGATATGATTTACTTGGACTTCAGTAAGGCATTTGACAAAGTAGATCACAACCTACTACTCGATAAGATAGAAAAATGTGGGTTAGACAGCATCACGACCAGATGGATTCGTAGCTGGCTGACCGGCCGTACTCAGCGTGTGGTCCTCAATGGAACCGCATCTATATGGAGGGAAGTGTGTAGTGGGGTGCCTCAGGGCTCTGTCTGGGCCCAGTGCTCTTCAACATCTTCATCAATGATTTGGACGAGGCAATGATTTACCATTGCCTGCTTCTTAGGGCTGAAAGAGAGGGACTGGCCTAAGGTCACCCAGCTGAGTTTTATATTTATTATAGTTAATATTTACTAGGTTTATGACCTAACTCTCCTGGAGTTCAAGGCTGTCTTCCAATTTCTCTCTATCACAAGACTGTAAGTTAGACTGAACCAAGAGAAATGGATTGGCTCAAAGTCACCCAGACATCTTCTATGATTGAGGGTAAACCTAATTTCCCAGACCTACTCCACCAGTTTAACCACTATACTGCACTTTTATTTACCGTAAATGCCGGCGTATAAGGCGACTTCCGCGAGTGCTGAAATCGGCGCCAAAGACGGGGGTCATCTTATACGCCAAGTCGTCTTATACGGCAGAAATACTGGTAGTTTCCGGCGTACAAGACGACGCTTTAGGAATGCGGCCCGGCTATAAAGACGGGGGTCATCTTATACGCCGGGTCGCCTTGTACGCCGGCATTTACGGTACTTCAAATCTTGCTGAAGACCTAGATCTTCTCCCATAATGTGGAGCCATGCTCATTACTTTTTACATGAGAATTAGTAACTTTTCATCATACAGTATTTTTCTTCTTTTACTGATTTTTGGCAGCCAAGAGCTTCAGTAGACAGGATGATGAAATTACCTTACCAGAAAAGACTGAACCAAGCTTTTGTTACTTTGGGGTAGCGGGAAAGAATTGATTTTTGTTGGTTTGTTCTAGGAATATGTGTTCAGGAAGTAGCCTCTGGATATCCTGCCTATTTTGAAAGAATGTATGCATTTACAATCCTGAAAGAAAGCCAAAGCCATCTTCCTCTATAATTATATTCTCTATGAATTTACAGTGTTTTTGATTTTTGGATATGAAAGAAATATTTTTCCTTTCCATTATATATAATGCACAATCTTTTTCTGCTAATCAGTGGCATTATCATTCATTCTATATTTACTCACAAGTCAGGAACATCATGATCCAAAGAGTCTTCAGTTTGATTTTTGCTGTGAACAGAGTCATCTTCTTGTATTTGACCCACTTCTTCATCTGTTATTATATCAAATACTGCATCATCTGTAGACTTAGAGGTTTCGTTTGTAACTGTGCCAAAGGAGAAGATACAAAAAATATTATTTATGTAGCAGGAAATACACAAAAAGTAATAATTGTAGGCTTGGGCTGCCAAAAAAGACATTAAACAAATTGCATTGATATTTCACCAACAGACATTTCTTATGTACTGTACTCCAAAAAGTCACCACTACATGTAGAATGGCAACCTCCAAGATGTTTTAAAAAGTCTGTTTCTAGTAGCATACAGCATGCATCCATTTCTGCATAATCCACATAAAGAAAGGTTCTGATTTTTGAGCTGAAGGAGAACCTACTGCTTTGTTGGATTTTGAGTACTGCATATGTACTGTTAAGGTTCTAATACCTACAAAATTACCTGAATACGAATGAAACATGTATTTGAAAGAAAATCCAGAAGCTTTACGTGCTCTTTTGCACATATTTCCATCACAGTGAACATTGCACTATTGTGGGGAAAGATGGGACAACAAAGAAAATAGATCATTCTAGAATGTCACCATCCCAGTTTCACAGGATATTTCTAATTTCTTCATTAGATTCTCCTAATTAGAAAAATATGTCCTGGATTATTTAACAAGCTGACCAAAAAATAGTGTAACATCTAATCTGAAGTTTTTGTAAAGACACAATAAATTTGGAAAAAAATGTTGAAGCTCACCCAAAATTTTGCGGACCAGGGACAATGGTGAGGCCAGCAGACTTGATGATGGTGATTCTTCTGGTGTAAAGTTTAATTCAGAATCAACAGGATTGGCAGTCACTTTTTTAAAACAAGCTTGACAACAGCGTTCTTTCTTTCCAGTTTGCTTTGAAACGGCATAATGGTTGCAGCAGTAATAGCAGAAAATGCGCCCACACATTCTTAAAAAACAAAGTAAAAACATATTTAAAATTAAGCACTTATAAGACACAATTTTCCATACAGAAAAAAACTAATTTCTTAATAGTACTATAGTACTAAAACCAGATACCCTTGAAATCATTAGAAATATTAAAATTATATCTGAAAAAATATTTTATTTTATTATCAAATATTAACAGCAACCAGAAATTATTTTTAACAGGTTAATCCTTTCTTTCTTTCTTTCTTTCATTCTACACTTTTATTGAGAAATGAACTGTATTACTGTACTAAATTCAGGATGCAATTTGATGTTCTAGGACTAGTTTAAACAATTAAAGCTTTTTAGTTGATTAATAACATTGCCTTGAATCTTCTCTTCAATTCATCAATTAAAAGATGACATCCTGTTACAAATGATTTCCTAATAAAACACCTATGCATATGTACATCAAAATCTAAACCAATTCATTTTTGTCAAGTTTTAATAACAGTCAATATTGTCATTTTATCATTTAAAAATTGAACAGGATGACTGAGAATTCTACTTAACAGAAAAATCTGCTACAACTCTCTGCAAAAATATTGCTGCAAAGGTCATAAGTGTGAAAAATGTCCATAAGTCATTTTTTCAGTACTGTTGTAACTTCAAACTGTCAGTAAATGAATACCGTATATGCCGGCATATAAGGCGACTTCTGCAAGCATTAAAATCAGCGCCAAAGACGGGGGTCGTCTTATACGCCGAGTCGTCTTATACACCGGAAATACTGGTAGTTTCCAGCGTATAAGACAACGTTCTAGGAATGCGACTCGGCGCCAAAGACATGGGTCGTCTTATACACCGGGTCGCCTAATACGCCGGCATATATGGTAGTTGTAAGCTGAGGATTTCCTGTATGATCAAATACTGAATTCAAAGTAAAGCAACATTACTGAAGGTTCTGGAATATATAATAGATGGACCTCTTCCCACAGACATCTTCTTGTATTTGATAAAACACTTCTTAGTAATAACTTAATAAAATAATAGTAACAATTTCTTTTGATCTGAATCACTAAAACCTTGTTAAAGAGCTTCACATTGGGGATGGTGTGTATGGAAACTGCACTTCTGACTCTAAGTAAGCAACTGATGCAAATAACTCAGCACTTCAGCTAAATTACTGTCTTAGCCCAAGAACAATCCACAGAGAATATAGAGTCCTTCAGTTTAATGACACTGTCATCTATCCAGATTCAGCCATAGTTTCATTCCATACAGCATTAACCTTATGAACTCTCAAGCTTCCTCCTTCCGTTATATATTCATGATGGACAATATTTATTTGCTACGTATATGTAAGGGTGTGGGTCTATACATATGTTGTTCATAGTATGTTTAGGTGTGTGTCATGTATGTGTTTCACTTTGAGAGTGGGCAACTAAATTTCATTTTTGATGTGTGCTGTTGTGCTCACAGTAAAAAAAATGACAATAAAGGTTATCTTATCTAAGCGAAGGGTTAAGAAAAGTACAGGTATCATGGCAGTATATTTGGATCCCCCATCTATTTGTATGTGACACTTATACAGAAAGTCAGAGTTTGACTGTGCTGCTGTGAATGCAGTTTTGCCTTCCAATGAAGGAGAATATTTGTAGCTCAGGATTGAAACGAAGAGTCCTTAGTGCTCTCTGAGCTTGTTTTCTTGCAGACAATTTATTACCCTAACTAGGTAACATCATCAGTGCTAGTAAGGAGTGCTGTTTGCTCTCTGTTTATATTCTGGTTTCTTGCCTGTCTGGGTGGGTAGGAGTGGTCTTAGGGATTCTTTGGTTGAGCTATTTACCAATGGCTCCTTGGCAGTTTCTTGATTGCGATATTGCTTATTTGATTGTTGGTCTGACGTTGACCTTGGAGTTCATCCTTGCTGAACTGAGTGCTGATTATTGGTGGAGAGGTGCTGGAGTCTTTTTCTCTTTGGGGCTGGTTGATTGTCTCTTTTACATAATCTGTAGATGTTGTTAATATCTATGTGTCTATTGATGGCTGATTTGTCAGAGTGCCAGGTTTCTAGAAATTCCCTGGGATTTTTAGATTTGGCCCTGCAGACAAAGGCCGAACCACAGTGATTGTGGACAGAGCACAATACAAACAAAAAGCTAATGAAATATGGAGGACAAAGAAACATACATCCCTGTGAACACCAATAGAATACAAAACTAGACAACCAGATCAAGAGAACCCCCAGTGACCTCACTAAGAAAGGCCTAATTACCAAAGAATAGTGGCAAATGAAACACACCTATCCTCCCATGCTTCTATGGATGCCCCAAAATACACAAACCTGGCATACCTCGTCCAATCGTATCTCTACCAGGGAACCCTACATACAACATTGCAAAAGAACTAACAAGAAAGCTTGGGCCTCTCACAAGAGATAGCCAACACTCCAGTAATTGGGATGTCACTATAGATGAAGTTGAAATCATGGTCTAATTCGATGTCACAACCTGTTCATGTCTATATATCCAGAATTAGCCAAAGAATCCATGACCGCATTGCTTCACAGTACATCCATAGAAGACTTTTAGAATAGAAAATGAGATTTTCTTAATGCAAAGTATGTGCTGTTCCTTGAATCACATCTTTTCCTTGAATATTTATTGTGAAGACAGTAATTGTATCAACGTATCACATGCTGTAGGGAGATTTTGACAGTTTCCAATTTTAGCCATACTGTATATATATTATGAGCAAAGCTCCTCTCATGAAGCATAAGCGAAACATGGACATCTGAACCTAAGAGTATACTTCTTTCTTTCTTTTCTTTCTTTCTTTCTTTTTTCTTTCTTTCTTTCTTTCTTTCTTTCTTTCTTTCTTTCTTTCTTTCTTTCTTTCTTTCTTTCTTTCTTTCTTTCTTTCTTTCTCTCTCTCTCCTTCCTTCCTTCCTTCCTTCCTTCCTTCCTTCCTTCCTTCCTTCCTTCCTTCCTTCCTTCCTTCCTTCCTTCCTTCCTTCCTTTCGTACAACCTCTAGAACTGAAACTCCAAATATCTTTTGAATAGTACTTTAGGTGGAACTGGGGACAAATCAAAATATGTGTTAAAATATTACAAAATAGGCCTGGGAAAATTGTGCTGATTGTTAAACATCAGACCAGTCAACAGTGCTCATATTTGTTCAATCCCCTCAAAATACTGACCTGCAATGATGTCGGCGATTCATCCAGCCAAATTCTTTTTGACAGTCTAAACAACTAGTGACTTCAGCATCACCAAGCCATCTTTGTTCAGCTGTGAGCTTCTGCTGGAATTCCAGAGCATCTGATTTCTGCCAAAGAGCATCCTTGTCCCTTTCAAAGTCATGTATGGAAAAATAATTTGTCATTTGATAATTTGTGTTTTAAAATCTTAAGCCTGGTCCCCTATAGGATAAATTCACTTTCTCAATTAAGAACTGTCTGATAAATCTAAAGTTGGTTGGAGTCCTGAGAGGCTACCTGGATTTTTTTATTCCTTGTGGTATATAAAAAGTTCTGCTAAGTAGCTGCATGTGCTAGTCATAATTGGTTTTAAAAACATAAGTAAGTTTGTATTTGGTTAGTTCTTGGATGAAGAAATATGAAGGTAATTGCCTAGTCTGGAAAATTTAAAAAAAAAATGGAAAAACTATTTACATATTGCAACCAAAGCAAACTTTATGAGATTTATTTATTTATTTATTTTATTTATTAATAAAATTTATTTGCCGCCCAATCCCTAGGGACTCAGGGCGGCGTACAAAATTAAAACAATATAACAATAAAACAATAAATAAGTACATTCATACAGCATGTCCAATCATATCCCGGTCTATGAACTTACCAAAAGTCCAGCTTGACTTGAGGGAGGCTTTACTTTTTAGCATATGAGAAATAATAATAAAATGGATACACAAATGCACACGTGCATGAGCGCACACACACACACACACACACATGTTCATATCAATAAACAAAAACAGAATTCTGGCTCATTAGGGAACAAGGACAATCAGTGGCACCCATTGCTCATTAATTCTTCCTTGTTTTTTTCCCTTAGCAGAAATAGATGATTCTGTGATGAACATTATGTGTAAACTAGGACCGGCATTTTGAGCCTCTTTCAACATGTTACAATCATTAGCCAAAAACAAACTCTAGTCTATATCTTGGGCTATTAGGAGTATAATGACCCAAGGTTCCCACGTGAACATTTTGTTAAACCAATAACAGAATCCTTCTGGTTTATTTAGCCAAATTTCCTATGCAATGTCATAAATTGATCATCTGTTATAATCCAGGAAGTTTTGGCTGCAGTTACTGCAATTAAAAATGGTACAATCAGCTATGAAATTTAGGGGGGGGGGAATTACTTTTTCACAATGGCGCACTGCATACTGGATGACTCTGCTTACAAACCAGCACCAATTTGTGGTGATCTGTTCATTCAGATTTATTTTATATATCAACAGAACATACATTAGACTCTGATAATAATGAATGGCAAACATTCAGAAAATCCAAAATGGGCAAATATTTTGTGCAGAATTTCACATAGAACACAGAAGAATAAATTTACAAAATAGAACCAGACAACAATGATACCAAACACCCAAGGTAGCTAACTTATTATAAGCATATGGGTCTAATGTTAAATAAATATTATCAGAGAAGCAGCACTTTTTTCTCTGAAACTTTAAATGTCAAGCTATCACCCACAAACCACAGGATTTAACAAATAGTCAAACATAGGATGAAAAAATTAGTCAACAGAGTATGCAGAGTATGATTCTACAACCAGATAGAGGTTATATTGCTTCCAATCCATTACACATGCATAAGAAGAAGATAATGAATATTCTTGAGTCTGCAAATAAATTCTTCCGTTTTAGATTTAAAGCAAAACAATGTATTTGCAGATTCAACAATATTAATTTCGTCTCGTCAGTAAAGAACAAGTGAGAAGAGTGTATTTGGGCTGATATGTGCATTTGACTACATCACAATCTTTTGCTTTGTTGAATTTGTTATATAATCAGACTGGTCAGTGCAAAGTTTTAAATATGGGTTGCTTTATAAATGTAACAATAAAATGGAAAATACAAAATGTTTCCATTAATATTTTCTAGCCCCAGGAGTGTTATTGATATGCATATTAACTGTATTCATACTGCATATTTTCAGTTTGAGATAAGGTTTAATATGTTTTGGATGTTCATATTATTTTGTACTATATGTCTGTTATATGGAAACTGATGGGCTGGATAACAGAAATGGATTCTCTATGCCCTTATTGTTAAGAGGCTAATCTTTCAACACTAGAAAGATAAATTAATGGTCCTATTGACCTCCAAGGAATTGAATACCTGACAGAATAACAGAATCACAGAGTTGGAAGGGACCTTGGAGATCATCTAGTCCAGGGCTTTTCAACCAGTGGTACAGGTACCACTGGTAGTACATTGGCACCTGGCAGGTGGTACGCGACCATCCTAGAAAAGTGGTAGTGGGGGAGGGGAATGAGCTGAACCAGTGGCAGCACCACACAAACCTGAGCAAGAGATGGCTGGAGCTCCAGGGGTGTCAAGGCTCACTGGAAGCGCCAGGATCAGCGCCAGGCTCCAGCTGGAGCTCGGCGCTGATCCTGGTGCTTCTGCTGAGCCCAGGAGAAGCACCCATCAGCTGGAATGTTGCAGCATCTCCAGGGTCTTGTGATTTACATTCAGATGCTTGGCAACTGATTCATATTTATGATGGTCACAGTGTCCCAGGGTCACGTGAAGTGACCAAAACCTGCTGCAACCACTCAGCAGACGGGGGGAATAAAAACCAAACACCCCCCCCCCACCCCTGCTGCCAATCCTTAACAGAAGTGCTCACAACAATGAAAATCTCGGACAGGAGGAAGAGCGCTGCCGGGTGGGCAGGCAGGCGTCTTGCTTGGCTGTGCCTTGGGGGACACTTTTTTCAGTGCCATTGTAACTTTGAACAGTCACTAAGCGAACTGTTGTAAGTCGAGGACTACCTGTACTTTATCTTTCTTTCTTTCTTTCTTTCTTTCTTTCTTTCTTTCTTTCTTTCTTTTTTCTTTCTTTCTTTCTTTCTTTCTGTCATCAGGTTTTTGACACCTTGCTAGGCAACTAGTGGTACTCGGATATTGCCATATCCTAAAAATGATACAATGGGTGAAAAGGCTGAAAAGCCCTGATCTAGTCCAATCCCCTGCTCAGGCAGGAAACCCTCTACCATTTCAGACAAATGGCTGTCCAGTCTCTTCTTAAAATCTTCCAGTGTTGGAGCATTCACTTTTGGAAGGAAGTTGTTCCACTGATTATTCTAACTATCAGGAAATTTCTCCTTAGTTCTAGGTTGCTTCTCTCCTTGACTAGTTATTGATGTTCCTTATGACTTAAGATTGAATTGGTTATGGATATGGATTACAGGCAACCTCTCTTATGGACTACAACTCCATCACTAAGCAATACAGTCACAAAGTGAAACATCGTGTGACTGCACTGAATTTTATCAGTTTTGGATGCAGTTGTGAAGAAAATCACCGACAGTCATTTAAGTGTGAAATCACGTGACCATGATTTGAGACTTCCTCCAACTTCCCCAGTGACTTTTTTATCAGAAGCCAGCTATGAAGACTGCAAATGGCAATCACGTGCCTGCAGGATGCTGTGACTGTCATAAATGCAGAACAGTTGCCAAGCACCCAAATCAAAATTACATGACTGCAGAAGGAGCTGGAATATCTGCAATTTCAAGGATCAGTCATAAATCTCCTTTTTCAGTGTTGTTGTAGTTTCCAACAGTTACTGAACAAGCACACTTACAATGGAATATGGACATCCTTTATCCTAACAGTTGTATAAACTTCAATGTATATCTATAGGAAACGATGTTTGTTCTATTGTATTCTATTTTTCTCTTATTATTTGTTCTACTAAACAAAGCAAACCAAAGCAACACCCCCCCCAAAACTACTATTGTGTTGCTGTTGCAATAGAACGTTATCCAAATAAGCAGTCTCCATAGCCACTTCATCCTCAGATCTCAACTCACCTAGATTCTCCTAATACAAAAACATTGGGAAAATGTAATAAGAAAATGTGGTATTGCCATATGCCAGAATATGAAATTGGATAGAGAATAAATTAGGACTTCTGAAGGCCTGGAAGCAAACTCCATTCCTGAATGATAACACAGTTCTTGGTTAAAAAGGGGAGAAATATTGTTCCTTCTAGAATTCCAAATGGACAAAAAAACGCATGATTAGTGCTGCAGAGAAGAATACAATATATTTAGAATATACTGAATTGAAGATTTTTAAGATATCTTTGTGGGGTACTGCCAACCATAAATATGGCTTTAAATTCTGTAGCAGTAAATTTTAGAGGTGAAAAAAAAATTAAGGTTTTTTTCCACTTGATAGTGAGGTTATCTAAAAATAAATCTACCAACCTGAGAAGTTCAATTAATTTTTCTTCTAAGAACTGCTTTGTTCTAGTTAGATCATCCAGTTCAGCCAGTAACTTGGCCTCATTGTTGTCTCGCTCTGATTTCATCTCGCTGAATTTACCACAGTACTCTTGAATTTGTTCATTTGTTCTGCTGACTTCTGTCTGGGCTCTGTTCAAAAACATATTCAATTTTCCTTAATTGCTTTTATTGTTATCCAGACCACAATGCTAGAAATAATACTATTAATCTTCACAGAGCACTAAATATGAAAATGAATCTCTAAATATGAAAATGAATCTAGCAGATAAGACTTTAACTTCTTTCAAAAAAAATGTCAAACTATTAACCTAGTTTTTTTTTTTAAAAAAATTAGATATTGTGAAACAGCAGTCATACTTTATATTAATTTAAACGTTCATAGAGATCGGAATGCAGATCAAAACTAAATATTTGTAATTGATAATAGATTTCAGCCTGAAGAACAGAGTTAACCTCACCCATTTAAGAGCAATTTTGCCTATCCTGGCTCTCTGCAGCTACACTGAATTATCATTTTCAGAGTTTCAGGAAATGCTGGAAGGGAATTCTCAGAGTTGATTTCCATTTGAAACCAACATGCAGTTGGTAAACAATATTTAAAAATTTCTTATCCTTAAGAAGGACGACAGATTTTTGGGCACCACTTGAGGCCTCAGAAAATTATCTTGTGTTCTGCACAAAAGGTGTATATAAAAGGGAACTTTTCTGTACAAGGTAATGCAAAGATTGATTTTAAGTTGGGGAGGGCACAAAGTATCACTTGACAGCATCCTACCCTACCTTAATTTTGTTAGGCCTGATTTTGTCTCCCTCCTTATTCTGCTAAACAGAACCATTAATTTCTGCCACTGTGTCCTGGCTTGCTTGCTTATTAATTTATTTTATTCATAATCATATTTATGCGGCTGCCCATCTCACCAAAACCGAGTCTTAATATAACTCTTGTGGTAATCATTATATACTACATGTTTTGATAAACTGTTTATCTAATCTAGACATGTATTAGATGAATATATTGCATTCACATAAAAATGGTGCTATTGTTTCACTTTTTAATTTTTTTTCTTATGGTGAGGTTATTTTTGTGTTTTTTATAATTTCATGTTAATTTTTTGTGTTCATTCTAATCAATATCTACATTAGAGACTATACTTTTGAAGAAAGAGCAAAGTAAATATTTGCAAATATAACAAAATTAATACAGGCAATCTTCAACTTATAACCATTTGTTTAGCAACTGTTCAAACTTACAATGGCACTGAAATAAGTGACTTATGAACATTTTTCACACTTAACTACCATGGCACGATCAAAATTCGGATGTTTGAAGAAGCCAGATTCACTTAATAACTGTGTTATTAACCTAATAACTGCAGTGATTCCCTTAGCAAATGTGGCAAGATCGTAAATGGAGGAAAATTCATTTAAAAACTGCTAAGTGTGCTGTTCTGTTGCTTAGCAAAAGAAAATTTAGGTTCAGGTGTGGTTGTATGTTCTGTGTTGAGGACTACCTACACAATTGTATAATACAATCAAGTAAAACACGTATTATATGTACATGTATATCACTGCAATTGCAGGAAGCTCTTTAAAGCAAGCCTGGCACTTTCATAATACCATAATGACATTTCTACTTCTCCAAATTACATTGAAACAGCCCCTCAGTGGTTTTTTATTTTTGAAAACATTATGAACTGAGAGTTTGTCTCCTGCAGCTAGTAGAAAGATGCAAGATCAGCATTCAATCAGTGTTCTGTCTTCCTTTCACATTTTCAGTTCACATTATGTGCACTGATGTGGGGATTTCTCCATTACCGGATTAGTAGCCACGGAGAGGAAGAGCATTCAAACTCTAGAGGCAAAATTGTCTGGTTATCTTTTTCAAAAAAAAAAAAAAACCAACAACAACTATAAAGGAACAGCTTCTCTGCAAGATACTACAGTAGCTGATCCTCTGTTGCAGTGGTTCTCAACCTTTTTAATGCCACGACCCCCAACCGGTCGTAAGTCAAGGACTACTCAACCGGTCGTAAGTCGAGGACTACTCAACTGGTGCAGCACAGTTTGCAGAATGGGACTTTTGGCGGGCTCAGCAGGGCAGAGACAGCCTGGACAATTCCTATTGGCTTTTGAAAGCCAATAGAATTAGACTCTATTCAAGAGAGTCTATTCTATTGGCTTTCAAAAGCCAATAGAATAAAAGGAAGTAGCACAGCTAAGGAAAAGGGGAAAAAAATGGCAGACTGCGTTGTTTGGCGACCCCCGTGAAATGGTCATTCGACCCCAAATGGGGTCCCGACCCACAGGTTGAGAACCACTGCTCTATTGTGATAGGAAAAGGATTGATTTAAGTCACAAGAATTTCCACCAAACAAAAATAGTTGCCCCTACATTTTTCACAGTAATGTTAGCACTCACAAAATATGATTTGAGATGTATCACAGCTGGAAATAAATCAGATCTGCTGACAAACGCAGAATGTGGATGTCCAGAAGCGCAAAGGCCAAGAGGGGAATATCTTCAATATTATTGTCCCCCTTGATACAAATTGTGGGGTCAGTGAAGAAGAGCAAAATAATTTCTCCCAGTCACTTAGCCATCATTGGCATCACTGCCCATGATAAAAGAGCAATACAAACAATAGAAGGCACTTTTAAATCCCTGCATTATAATGCTTCCTGGGGGGGGGCGGAATTCTACATTTATTTATAATATTTGTTTTTCTATATATTTATATACCCTTTCAAGACTGAAATTATTTCAGTTAAGCTCCAACCTTTTAAGATCTTCTTTCAGTTCTGCAATTTCTTCATCTTTTTTTTGCTGGATTGCTTTGTACTCAGTCACTTGATCCATAGAAAGGTTCAGTTGTACATACAGGTCTCTTTTCTCAGCCTAGCAAAATGATATTGTTAACTGAATAGAAATAGAGCTCTATTTAATCTCCTAGTTGGAATAAAAAAATAATAAAACAGACAATTTAGGGTTTCCATGGTGTTAAGGGACGATTGTAAATACCGACCAAATGGATGTTCAAAGAAGAACAATTTTGATGATATATTAAGTTGATAATCTATGCAATGTTTTCCAACAAAATGGATAGCCATGTAACTTTAGCAAAAATGCCTGACCACTCAACCCAATATAGCACAATAAACAACTGTGAAAAGAATATAATACTGCCACATATTAAAAACATTTCAGAAATCACCAAAAGACTTACAACCACATAAATCAACCAAAGCCCTCCGAAACATCCTAAGTAAACAAAACATCCAAGAACCCCAGAAAGAAAAATAAGAGTTATCTGCAACATACACTTTTGCAGCCACTGTCTAGGACAAACAGGTAGAAGATTAGCTGAGTACATCCATGAACACCAACTAACTCTGATTAGACATGATGAAAACTCCTTAATTTCACAACACATGGACAGATGTAAAGTTTCAGCTGGGAAAAACTGTATCTTAGACCAAGAAGCCTGACACTCAGACAAGTCAGCTATCAACAGGCACATAAAGATAAACAAATGAATGTACATTCAAGAGAGACAATCAAAAAGTAAAAAAGAAATAAAAAGATCAACAATTAAGAAGTAAACAATACCCCAATCAATTCAGGCAAACAACTAACACAAACAACAGTCTAATCAAGGAACCACCAAGATCATTCCCATCAACAGGACAATCCCCTTGTATATAAAATGAGAGCAAACCCTATTCTCTTCTAGCAATGATGATTTGTTTGGTAATGAAATAGTTACAAGAAAACAAGCAATCTCAGAGGGCACCAAGAACCCCACAGTTCAACCCTGAGCTGCAAATATTATCTTTGATACTTTATCTAATGCTTAATGTTTTACGGTATAAAAGGTTGCTTAATTGTTTTTAATACTGCATGCAATCCAGAGTCACACTGTTTAAGTTGGGCATTTTAAATTATATACCAAACATTTGGAATCATTCTATAAAGAACCATAGATTTATCAGCAATGGAGTATGGCAAAACAGATTACAATGCTTACAGTATAAAGTATCATACATTTCTGGACAATAATCATGTTCTACCTGCCACACCGAAATTTCAAAATCAGATTAAGTTTCTTTGCTTTTAAACCCTGAAATATATTTTCTAGTTACTACTGAATCAAACATATGTAGTGGAGGAAAGAATACAATGAAGCTAATTTAGCAGACTAGATGTCTGTTAAAGGGTAAATTTATCCAATTTATGATATTTGAGTAATGGCATAAATGATAGAGGTGATGCAAATTCATATAAACTGAACTGCCTCATCCACACTATGTTGGATGCAGTATCCATAATTTGGGGGTAGATGTCCAGACAAAAATCTGATCCGTTTGTACCCTCAGTTTGCTTAATGCAAGAGAGGGTATTCAATTAAGATTTCATTGTACTACTAGGGAGTCTTCCTACTGGATAACCAATATGCTTAAAACATCAATAATTATTGACTCGAAGGTTCTGCGAGTTTCTTGTTTAATTAAATAAAGTTTCAACCTGCATTTCCTTGAGTGCCTCTTCTGCAGCATTTGCCTGTCGGTTCTGTTCTTCAAGTTCTTCCTTTAATTTTTCACATTTTTCACTGAGAACCTGCAAAGGTAAAATTTAAAACAGAAAAAATAAAACAGTTTTTTTCCAAGGAATATGTAGTTTTCTGTTGATTTCAGGGACCAACTAGGGATGGGCTTGCAAATTGTCATCATTACAAGTGCAACAAACAAAAGCTTCCATAATGAGATTTACAGTACAGGCAGTCCTTGCTTAGTGACCACAATTGGGATTGGTTAGTAATAATAATAATAATAATATAAAGTTGGAAGGGACCTTGGGGGTCATCTAGTCCAACCTCCTGCTCAGGCAGGAAACCCTATACCATTTCGGATAAATGGCTGTCCAGTCTTTTCTTAAAAACCACCAGTCTTGGAGCATTCACCGCTTCTGGAGGCAGGTTGTTCCACTAAGCACAATTGATCTTCATTAAGTGGCACAATCATTAAGTGGAAAATCCTGTGACCGTGATGTTGTCATTTTTAACTCAGTGGTTAAACAAAGCATCATGTGACCATGCTTGTGATTTTGCTTCCATGTTCCCTATTAACTCTGCTTGGTCACTAACAAGGCAGTTGGAAAACAAGGACTACTACCTATAGTGTCTATATTTAGACAGGGAAATCATAAGTCATGTTAGCAAATGAAATCTGAGGACCAAAAAAATCAGTGCTATCATTCTGACCATCTTATCAGTCCACATAGGGTCAGAATCCACATGTCAACACCAATTCCTCTGTCTTTCATAGTTATTTTTTCCCCACCTCTAGGCTTGCTCAAGTGTCATCATTAAGAGGGTAGGTAAAAGGCTTTGTGCATGGGCCAAAAGCTTGTGTATACCCTGTCCTATCAGGTTAAGAGATAATAATCCAAATTAGTTTCTCTCTCTACTTCCAAGCATCTCCATGGATGTAATACTTCAGCCTGAAGTATACCAAGGACCGGTAGGCAAACTGACTTCTGAGGTATTCCTGGGGAAAGTATTGCAGGATCTATTTTCCCCTAGAACACTTCCATACTTACGATTGTTTATTATTATGCTGTCAAATTGGGGTAGAGCAGATGGGAACAGAATTTTATCCAAGGGCTAAATTAATTCTCCCCACAACATTCAGTGGGGCTAGAGCTAGATGATACCAGGAGGAAGATTCTCCTCCTGGAATAACTATCTTTTCTTTTGGTCAAGTGGCTTCCAATCTGCATTTAACTGGAAGAAACTGGCACTTTCCCTTTGGGTACTAAGGCTGCAGATGAAGCAGCAGTTGCAATCAGTATACTTGTAAGAAGAGCTCCGTGTTCAAATAAATATAAAATTGCAGCCTTATTTTATTAAAGAGGGTCCAAAATTTACCTTAAATTTTGTCTGATAGTTTAGAATTTCTGTGCTCAGTTGAAATTTGATAGTAGCTACCTCCTCTTTGCTGGTTTCCTGCAAACTCTTGGTTTGTTTCTCTGCCAATTCCAGCTGAGTTTGCAGGTCAGGAATGATGGCAGCACAAACGTTTGAATCTTCCAATTTCTCTTGTAATTCTTGTTTCTCATTACTGAATCTTGTCAACTCAAGCTGCAGCCTCTCTTGTTCTTTGATTGACATTTCTTTGATAGCTCTGAGCTCCTCTTTGACTTGGGAGAGCTTCTCTTCCATTTCTGTCTTTTCAGATGTCAGAGAGCAAATCTGAATACCCAGCTCAGCCATGTCCATGTTGGTTCTTTGGAGAAGGTCCTTGATTTCCATGTTTTCCATATTAACAACTTCCAAATCACTCCTGACCTTGGACAATTCATCTGTCAGGGACACCACATTCTTTTCCAGTTCAGCTTTCTGTTGAGCTACCTTTTTCCATTCATTTTTCTGCATTTTCTCTTCTTCTTTACATTGAAGTAGTTCTTGCACGTGGTTTCTGTTCAGTGTTTCATTTTGCTCTTTTAGCTGCTGAGACAATAATTTTTGTTCACTTAAAACAGTTTCTGTAACATCCAATTTGCCCTGAAGCTTTTGTTTCTCTGCAGTTGTCTGCTGAAGCTTGGCTTGAAATTCTATAATTTCCTCCTGGAGCCTAGATATCTCTACCCGATTGATATTCTGCTGTTCCTCAGAAATAGCCAATCTTAACGTCAAATCTTTAGCTTCTCTCTCTTGACAAGATACCAATTCCAATTGGGTTTTCTTTTCAGATGTAAGAGATTCAATTATTTTTGCTTGATGAAGGCCATTTTTCTCAAGGGTTTCAATTTTAATTCTATACTCCTCAGCCTGTTCCCGAAGTTGACTGCACTGATTCTCCAGGCCTTCTAATAACTCAATTTTCTCTGTGAGCTGTAACTTCAGAGATTCTTCACTCTGCCTTGAAGAAGACAGATTCTTTTCCATTTGAAGATTATGTTCTTCGGCATTCTGGAGCTCGGCTTGAACTACACTTAAGAATTCTGCAGTCCTATTTTCATTTTGTTTCAATTCTTGGTAATCGGTTTGTAGAGATTTCAGTTTTTCATCAAAAAGCTGGTTCTTTCTTGTAGCATTTTGCAAGTTTTCATCCAATAGCTTATTCTTTTCTCGAAGTGTCTTCTCTTTTTCGTCCACAGATACCATGGCATCATCTATCTGACTCTGGAGATGTTTCTCAGAGGCTCTTAATCGAGCCAGTTCTCCTTCTAAAAATGATTTAGATATATCTAATTCGCTGCACTTTTCTTTCAACTTTTGATAGGTTTGCTGCTGTTTTGTATTCTGGGATTTGAGGTTTTCATTTTCTTCAAAGGAATTTCTCAACGAGGAGCATTGTTTTGTGATCTGGTGTTCCATTTCCAATATTCTTGCTTTAAGATGGTCTCTTTCTGTAACAACTTCCCCTTTTTGCTTTTCTAAACTTTTCACCATGTCACTGAGTTTTGCTAGCTGCACTTCCAGCAATTCAAGATGCTCCATTAGGTTTTTTATTTCTTGTCCCATTGTTGTTTTTGTATGACTTAACAGCCTCTCAAATTCTGCCTTTTCTTTTCTTTCTTCCTGTAGCTTTTGTTCTAATGATTTTACATAACCCAGTGTATCTGCCAGCTGGATTTGAAAATCAGCTACCATTTTGTCTTTCACTGCTAGCTCTTTCTGAAGTTCAGCCCTTTCAATAGTCATGGCATCCAGATTAATAAGCAATTTTTCAGATTCTTCCTTAGTGCTAATGGTAAGGCTTTTCAATTTTAATTCAAATTCTTTCTGTTTCTCTTCTTTCACATGGAATTGCTCTTCCATAATTTTAAGATGAGAAAGAAGTTCACTATGCAGTTTCTGAGCATCAGCCTTCTCCTCTTCAGCCCAACAAAGCTTTTTAAATAATTCCTCAATCTTTAGTACGGAATCATATTGGCTAATGGCCTGGTGACTTTTTTCATCCATAAGACTATTTGCTTTTGCTGCAAGCTCCTCAGTTTTCTTTTCTGCTGATTTTAGTTTGGCAGTAAGCTCATTAATCAAGAGATCTTTCCTGGCCAACCAGATTTCCATGGTCTTTAGCTCTTGATTCAAAAGAAGAATTTTGGAATCAGGGGCATTTTTCAAGGACTCCAGGCTCTCAAGCTTTGCAGAGCATTCTTTCTGCTTCTCAGCTGCATTCAATTCTAGTGTCTCTAAACATTTCTGGAATTCCTGAATGGTGCCCTGAGTATAGTGGGAAATCTGTTTTTCTAACCCCCCTAGCATTTTTTTTAGCCTGTCATTCTCTTCTGCCATATTGCTGTTCTTCTCTCTTTCCATTTGCACTTGCTGCTTCTGAAGGCTAATAGTGGCCTGAAGCTCTTGCTTTTCTCCTTCCAGATTCTGGATTCGATCCTGTAGTTCCTTCTGCTGCAGCTCTGCCCGATCAAGATCCATGTGCAAATCCTCTAGGCCTTCAAGAGATTCAGTATTAAAAAAGCTATTCTCATTTGGGCTGGAAAGGTTCTCTTGAGCCTAAAAGGAGAGAAAACATCTGAGTTAGCAAGAAAGCTGTTTGTAAAAGGCTTTTCAGTGGCAAGGGAATCCTTATAATAGTCTCCTAAAGCAGACCAGCAGGTTTTTTTTTTAGCATTGTTACACAAAGTTAAAGTACAAATGAGGAACACACATGAATTCTGACAACAGAGCAACCACCTAGAATAAAAGGATATTGATTCTCTGATAAACATTTTTAAAAACAGCCCAGAAGCAAGGAAAGGTAATGAATCACCACAGTGAGGCTATGCATCAGAGAAGCTTTCAGAGATAATAGCATTACTTTTTCCCTCATAGTTTATACATTTATTGGCCAATACAATTACCTGCACAGAGCTGCTCACCAAACTGCTCATGCTTGAACTGCGGCTTGGAGGTTTCCATAGATAAGCTGAGGAGCCAAGTGAACACAATGTTCTCCTGAACATGGAAAAGGATTGTTTTAAGAAAAAAAAAAAACGTTTTCAAGAATTTTGTCTCAGCAACTATCTACCTGCATCTATCCACCTGATATATTTAAATTTATCTTCAGTTTTGGAATGAATGAATAAGATCTAGAGAGGTGATCTAGAATTCCTGTGAGCATCTGAAGCAAAACTTTTCAAGATGAAATTGGTATTTGTTTATATTTTTAAGAGGGCTTCCTACTCTACATTTCTTATCCCACAAATTACAGGTTTGCATAGTGATGTTTCATCACTTGCCCCCCATCTTCTCTCATGTGGATCCTCTGCATTAATTGATTCTTCTGGTTTTTGTTACAACTTGGAATAAGAATTGCAGAATTCAGCTCTTCTTTGGCTCTGCCTGAGAGTTATCAGTTGGCTCCTTAACTGGTCAAGTTTACTAGGATCTATTTGGTTCAGAATTGAATATGCAGATAGTTGACTCACAACTGGTTGCTTAATGACAGTTCAATGTTCCAACAGATCTATCTGGGGGTACTTATGACTTGGATTGTGATGGGCATGCTCCATTATGTCTGAGACATAATTGCAACATGAGTTTTAAAAATGTTGAGTGGTAGGTTTATTTCTGAACATCTGATCTAATCTGGAAATTATTGGAAAATTGTGAAAAGTCACTATGATTTGACAACTGTTTTTATAAAGAAGCTTTAACAGAGCCTGGGACAAAAATGCTTTATGAAAATTATAGACTTTATAGGAGTTTTTCTAACATAGTGGCAGCAATTTGCATTACCTGGCAAATGTGGGCCAACCAGCATCTAAGTCATAGCCTCTTGATGCCAAATCAAATTGAATTTCAGTTAATTCATAGAGGTGACCGACAATATCAGAACTCAGTTTTGGATTGAGGAAGGGACTTCTTGCATAGTACCAGTCACTTTAAAAAATGGGAAAAAAATGAAAAAAGCAATTTATTTCCACATTTTTCAACAAGATATACAATATATACTGTGATATAAATTCAATCAAGTAATCACCATTACCAAGAAGAACAAAAACAACCATGTTTACCTTGTTACTTTGGTATTCATAAAACACTGTTGTAAAGTGTCTGCAAGCCTTTGGTGCACTAAGGAGTAGCGGATAAATGCCCTGCCTTTACCAAGAGAAGTGCGGAGCTAAAAAATAAAACAAACCTATTAAAATGCTAACATAACTGAATATTTCACTATGAAATATTCACAATAAGCTTTTTCAGATAGGGTAAAATGGTCCTGGGACTCAAATATAGAAGTAGTTGATCCAGACGATCAAAAGTACTTTATAATAGTGAGTTGCTATTATATAGAAGGTAGGGAGGAGGAAGAACTTAGTAAACATTCAGATCCTGGTGGTTTTTTTATTGTGATACAGATGTAATCCTGGAAATAATGAAAAGAAAGATTATACACAAAGAAAAACAGGATCTAGCATTTAACTATCTCTGCACTGAACTTAAACAGAAAAGCAGTTGGGTTTTTTGCATTAAATAATAATATCAAGGAAAAAATAGTGATAGTTTAAATGTCAAAGTGGAGCTAGCTTAGTTATTTGGTTAGATTAGATGTCACATAAGTAAAGAATCCTGGCATAATACATCAAGGAGTAGTATACTGTTTGGGATTCAGGATTCATCCTCTGAAAGGGAAACTAAATGAGTTTTTACATTTTACTCTACAATACTTAAGATGCTGTTTAAAATGCAATATTTGGGACATTCCAAATATTCCCAAAATGTGTGTTTCAGGATAATAAAATATCCTCCCTTTTTCATCCTCCTAAGCAAATTGAAGATGTCCCTCTACACTCTCTAAATCTAAAGCTGCCCACCAGGGATAGTTTTGAGAGTTTGACTTGATAAAACACAGATAATCACTTAATTGCCTAATAGTGAGAAGATGAAATATTGAGAAAACTAAGGAATTTACAATAGACCTGTTAACAACACAAATAACAGTAAAGCCTTTGATTGAACAAGTGACAATCTCTCCCCCCCCCCCCAAAATGTTGCAAGGACAATTACACCAATCTACAAAACCCTATGGTTAAACTTTTTGATTTAACCAAGGATTTTCAACAGAAGAGGAATCAGAAGGAAGACAATCAGGCAATTTAATAGATGAAGAGGGAGTGATTTTGCACCACACAAACAACACTTGCATTTCCCCTGATGCCATAATTCTATCAACTGGACTGCAGGCTAAAAGGACCCCCTCCCCCCCAAAGAAGAAAAGTTTCAAACTCTGGATGAACTCACTGCCATGAATAGTTTAGCTCAGCAAACTCAATCAAATATTGGAGTGCTTCAGACCCCTTGAACCTAAGATGGGGGAACCTCAACATAATGCTTTGGCATGCCAGGTGAAGACTCATGTGAACAGCAGACAAAACACGCAATAAAAGGAAATCAATTTGGTGAAGAATTCCATAGACCAAGAAGCTGCTTTGCCAAGTAGTTTTCAAGAAAATCCAAGTTGCCAATCAGTACATACACTTGAATAGATCCGGTTCTCTCGATTTCATATGTGCGGAAGGCTGACTGAAGGGCCACGTTACAAGTCACCCCAATTAGCTCTTCTCCTATACTCCTATAGGTACGATTAAGGATACAATGATTCCTATATTAGCAAGGAATCTAGCAGGTTGGAAATATAAACTATGTGATCTACCTGAATTTCTGTCCAATTTTGATCTGATTGCAGCACAAGAGATCTAGTTAACAGCTAAAGATGAACAGATTTTGATACCTGACTTTAAGTATTCAGTCACTTTGGCGTGGAAAATAAAAGAGAAAGGCTGGGTAATAGGGGATTTGGCAATATTGATCAAGGAAGAACTTGGATGGAAGTACATCAGAACAGAAATCACCATAGTTGCCTTTTCGCCTTTTTGCTTCACTATTAAATTCCAATATAAGGGCTTTGTGATTGTGATGTTAAATCGGTGGTGGATTCAGCTGGTTTGTACCACTTCGGCAGAACCGGTAGCTAATTTTTTGTTGCCCAGGCCCAGAATGGACTTCCAGAAGTGGCATCCACACAGAGAACCAATTGTTCACATATTTGAATCCCACCACTGTGTTAAATGTATATATATCACCACAATGTCTACATATTACCTCTCTGACATGTGGGTAAATTTAGAGCAGACCCTTATAGAGCTAACTATAAAAACTTCCAAAACAGTTTTTGTGAAGTTGAGGCCTTCACATATTAGTAATCTGAATATCCCTGAAGAATTTCATTCCCTATTACCTTTATAATCCTTTAGGGATCAGAAAAGGGATACTTCTGGTATTAGTTGTAAAACCTAATAAGTGTAACTTGCAAATTCTAGCAAAGACCAAAGTTTTGTGTAGTCTTTTACTTACCATTGAAAGAAATCAAGTAGTACTTTAAAATACATATGTGTCTCTAACAGTAATGTGTCCCTTTTCTCAGACTTCCAGGTTTATGTAAGAGATAGTGACTACCAATTGTGCTTGTTAATTTCTACTTCAACCTCAGACAGATAGGTGGGTTTCATTTCATCTGTAGTCCACCAGGACAGAAGCATAAAATGGACCAGAATGGATGTGTAGGCTTTGTCTGAATATATTAAATCAAATTAAGCCCTGACTCTAGTAAACAGTTACTTCACCTTGCACAGATGTCTGTATTTATAGTCTATGAAAATCTAAATGCAGAATTAAGAAAATTCTTAACCGAAAAGGTCCTTCATAGAAGGTAATAGATAAAAGACCCTCAATGATTTGGCTCAAGAATGTCACTCCAAGAAAAAGATTAAGGCTAGCTATGGATTCAGCATAAAACTATCAATCAAATAATAATTGTGTTACAAGGCTCCTGGAAAAAATCTTCAACTCCCTGAATTATTTAAATTTCACAATGACATTTAATGGGCTCCAGTCATTAAAATTATTTAGTCGTATAAATAATTTTTGCCAAATTCCAGCTGATTGGGAGATTTCTATTGTGATCCCCCTTTTTGTACAAAAAAGTTGAACCTTTAAATTATGAACCAATTGAATTAATTAGCATCACTGCAAAGTTGTATGCCAAATATCTTTTACGTAAGATAAAGAATTAGTTAATCAAAAGGAGACCAAACTAGTTTTAAGTTGAGTTGTTCCACTATTGATAACTGCTTCATTTTATGTTATCTAATAGAAAAATATACAGTTAAAGAGAGCTAACTATTTACAACTTTTATAGACCTCACTGCAGCATTTGATTCAACATATAGGGCTCTTCTTTAATCAAGACATTATATTCAAATTCATGCCTAAGGATATGCACAGAACATAAAGTTTCCTAACAGGAAAAATTAGTTCCAACAAAGGAGTCGGACCAAAGTGTATACTGATTCTTATTCTATTGAATCTGTATAAACGACATCCCCAAATCCTTTCACTCTACTGATACACATATGCCTAAAGTTAAAAAATAAACATGTAAGCATTCTGCTTTATGCTGTGTCATAAACCCCTGTAGGGATAAGGAGAATGCTGCGCAGATATAGTACATTCTACACACTCAACTTGGACTTCAGTAAGTCCAAAATGAAGATGGTTGCTTTCAGGGAGAGGCAGACGATGTATAATTTGAACCTGGATAGATAAAGCACAGATCAAGTTAAGTCCTACCTCAGAAACAGGTTCATGGCTTCCATATTTTAAGAGAAATTCTTTAAGGGCTACAGCCTGTGCTAACAACATAGCTACCCAGGTTGTCTACTTCTGTTCATAAAGACATATAACATTAAAAAAAAGTCTCAATGATCGTATTTGGTGCAGATACATTCCACTTTTTAAAAACATATCTTAGGGTAGACAAATTTACGTTAGCCCTAGCAGAAAGGGCAGAATATACCTGCTACATAAAGCCATTTAGTAATTAAAATATTCAATTAATGGTTTAAGATGCTATCTATGGATCCAAACAGACTACCCAGTTATGTTTTGAAGAGTAGCTACACAACAAGCAATCTCATGTTTGGGCCTCACAATGTTCAAATGTCAGCTCACAATATGGATTATCCATCCAATTCCCAGTCCAATCAGATCTAAAGGCCAAGAAGTTTTGAAACAAAGGGTTATTAATGTGGCTACCCAGGATGATACTGTAGCACTTAAATATGTTCAGTCTTTGAAGTGACTGGCACAACACGTCAACTTCCTAGTTAGAGAAATATTGAACATGCCTCAACATTTCACAAGAGCTTTTTCTAAAGCTGTTGTTTGAGCAACTGGACTCCATGGTAAGACATGGGAGGTTTCACAGATTTCCATTTGAAGAAAAACTCTGCATTTACGAGCATCAGCCACTGATGACATTGGACACATTCTTGTTGATTCCAAACCATATTCTGCAGAAGGGGATGCTTATTTAGATCCTTATTTAAAAACTAAAAAATATTAGGGCACCTGGGAGAAACTGTTTTATGTTTGGAGGAAATGAATCTGCACATCACTAATAAAACTACAGTCTACATTTCAAAAGCCATTTCAAAGAGGGCAGAATATTTAGATCAGATGGGGTTAACTGTAATGATGACAACTTACTATGAACAAGTTCTGTTTTCTTTGTATCTGTTTGTATAAATATTATATATTTGATATAGAAACCTTTAAGTACAAGTTTCTGCTAAGGAAGCTGTGGTCACAAGATGACTACACTAATAAAGGATATCATTCATTTCCCATTCAAAAATCCCTCTGAGTTTATATTAAATCATATTATTCCTGTGATTAAAAGACATTAATAGTCTTTTTGGGAAGGTTTTCTTAAAAGGATTTATAGACCCAAATGTAACTAAAATAATTTCCTTGACATAGTAATGCATACAGAATATAATCAGTCCCCAGACCCATTCATATGATCTTCAGAACTCCTCAAGATCAGCTACCTAAATTAGGCAACAAAAGGGCTATTTCCAGCAGCGTAAGGTTTTTTTGTTTTTTTGTTTTGAATGAATGGATTAAACTCTAAAAGGGACATGCTCAATTCTTGTATATGATTAACTTTCTTCTCTACTCCCTGAACATATTGCGCCAAGTCCAAGGGAAAAAAGTCCCTTTTTGTTGATTGTTTTCTGAAGGAGGAAGTAAACCTGATCTACATCCTTGACTTGAGGAAGCTCATTATGGATCAGACAAAACAAATGTAGATATGGCACTTAGGTTCAGAATGTGCAATGACAGGATTAGTGGCAATTCAACAGAAAAGAACAAAGGAACAGTGTACTGGGTGTTTTTTAAATTTATGAGTAAGTGCATATTTTTGTTGCTTTCCTTCATACTTGGGTTCATGTTCATAAGGACACATGTTCATATTGAATATGGATCATCAGGATAGGTAGAAGGAATGTTGATCCCTACAGTTTTTTCCCACGACAAGATTGACTGATGCAGTTTATTCACTGTTTCAATACCGTAAGTTTCTGAGCAACTGTCAAGTTGGCTTATATGGTAGTGGGAAAAAAGCACTGAAAGAACTAATGTTAGTCTACTTGTTGACAAACGGAAAGTGATCCCCATATGCTTTGTTGGACTGACCTCTCCAAAAAACTGAATTATATGATTGTTAAAGACTGAGCAATGCATTTTACTTACTTCTGAAATAGACTTGACGAAGCGAATACCATCATTTGCACCTTTAACCTTTCTCAGACAGTCACAAAAATAATCCCAGTAGTCCTTCCGATTGCCTAGTAAAGTGGATTTTTCCTTTTGGTCAAACTTTGAAACAGAAAAGGGAAATAGATAGCTTTAAAGCAGCAATGTACAAAGCATCAGTTCTAATTTGTCAGAATTCAATGAATTGATACAACCTAATTTTTTGGTATAGGAGCCTGTACCTGTTAATTCTGATGCGAGGTCTGTAATCTAATAATGCAATTTGTGATCTGTAAATAAACAACTCAGACAGCCATCAGCCTCATTCTGCTGAACTTTAGAATGAGCAGTTAATTGTACTACAAAACTCAGTGATAGCCATGAGAATGGACTATGCAGTTATTTTTATTTCCTAAATTATATTTCCTGCTTACAGTTGAATTGCTGAGATTTTTTGTTTAAATAAAAAACAAACTGTATTTGTTTTCATTCAACTTTTGATTCTGCTTTTCTGTAAATTTCTGTAAATTTCACAATATTTAATGTTAACTTTGTATATTAAATTTCTTCAGAGTCCTTACCTGCAAGAGGTACTCAAGCTTATAAGAAAACTTGTGCAAGATGATACAGTCATCTGTGATTGGTTCTCCTGCTTCTAAAAACTCTTTGTTCAGTTCTGTCACAGCATCTTTTGGAAAGAACACAATGCAATTGTTTGTAGTTAAGTAAGAACAAGCAATAACGAGGCTTTCGGTTCCGGATTGCAGTACCAGCGGACACACAATGAGAGCGTTCTCTCCGCCGTCCAGTTTCCCTTTGTTGGAAGACCCTGCAAAGGGTTGAAAGTCACCCTGGAGGGGTGACCATCGCTGAGGAGAACCCTCGCTAGATCGCGGAAGGGTGGTAGCCCTTCCGTTTGATCTGAGGCAGCTCCTTTGGACAGATGAAAAGATCGGCCATTAACATGGCCGATCACTAAGATGTACCAGCCAAAAGCCAAAAGCACTACCAAGCAAAACGAAAGCAACATGGAGGAATTGGGTGAGACCTTGCCTTACCTTTCTTGCACCCCAACTACCTTCCTATAAAAGCCTTTGGAAATTTTTCCCACCTTTCTAACTTGGCGGCTTCTGCCTACTCTGGGAACATAAAGCTATAGGGGGAAAAAAGAACAACTAATCTAAATGATTCAATAATTGGATTTGCAATTTTTGGATATTTGGGGCCCTAAAAGGTTCCTATTCTTACAGGGACTTATTACTTTAATTATCTGTTAAGCTGGGAAAAAAGGTTATTTTTTCAAACAGGATAAAAGCCTAACTTAAGTTTGAGAAAGACTTTACATGTCACTGAGGATATCTTGTGATGAAATTTGTACAGCAAGTGAATTTCTTTTTGATTGGGAGACTTGTGAGACTAAGATTTGGCTTTGGCACTATCAAAAAAGATAAGAACTTGAAACAGCTGGGTGGTAAAAACAATTCTCTATAGTGGAAGTGGACACTATTGTCTTTTATCAAAAATAGTCTCCACTAAAGGACTATCTATAAACACCACAGAAATGGAGGAATACTACTCACAACTTAACTATAAATTGATACTTGAAAAAATCCTTGAGGCTACTGAGCTAATGAATTCCAGACTGAAAAATAAAGACGCCACTTCAAAGCTACAAAATGCAACCCAGACTCTAACTGATGAACCTACAATCCAAAAGGCAATAGAAGAGGAAGGAAGTAATATATACCAGCTACAACCCACTGAGAACCCTGATCTTAATAAAAAAACCCTGCAACTCTAGCATCAGAAACTGCAGAAACCAACACTAAGATGGAACGTGCTGAAGATTTATAAGTACAACACATTGAGAACCTAGATAAACCAGACAACCAAACAATAACTATACCACTGAACATGACTTTCTACTTAAACCAGCTGAAACCGGAAGAAGAGGACCAGACTGAATTGACGACAGATGTACTGAGCCAAATATAGAGACCTGAATTATTGGATCAACAATCTAATGACTATGAAGGGGCCAGCTTTTTTGGAAAATTGATAATTGGATAGTCTTCCTTGATTTAAATGACATGTGTAGGGATGAAGGGAGATCCACTTGAGGAGTTAGAGGCATTGCTATGGAAGCCTGCTTGGCACAAAAAGAAACCTAGAGTTAGACTTAAAAATGTTTTTTTTAATGTTACCTATAATGGAAGAGTTTAAAATCTCTTTAAAATCTCACTCAATGGCCTAAGGAGAACTTAAAAGATACTAATTGATTTAATATTTAGGATCTAGATTTGCAAGGGAAATAAAAAATAGTTACTAGATTTGGATTATAATACAGAACTTGGATTGAGATGATAAAGGTTATCTTATTAGTAAGGGATGAGGTATTAGGATGAGAAATAGAATATGTTTGTGAAATAAAGTAAGAAGCTATCTGAGTAAATAATAAATGTATTTTAGATATGACAATTATTTTGTAATGAACTAAGGGAACTTTGGGTTACCTGAAATCTAAAGACTATGGATATTAAGTTAACTGGAATACTGTAACTAAAATTAGGTAAAATTCAAAACAGGATATGAAGGCGTACAAGACAAAATATATTGATAAATGTCTTGACTGAGTTTTAACTAGCAACGTATTAATTTGAATGTGATACAATAACTAAGGGAAATAGAGAGGAAATTTTTGATGATATAACCTGACATATGCATGGAAGAGCTTGTTATTTGATTATGGACTACCCAATCATCATGTTGCTTCCTTAACACTTGGAGCTTTGTAAAATTGGAAAGTTAATAAAACTTGTTTTGTTTAAAAAAAAAACAAGCAATGACTATATAATTCTCTGTTTTCCTCAGAGAAATGTTGATCAGTTGGCAATGTCATAAACTAGTAAAAAATGTAAATATTATTCTATTTAAATTTAATCAAAATACAAATTAATATAGTGTCAGGGCTATTTTATTTATTTGTTAAATTTATTTGCTGGCTACTCCAGAAAGCTTACAATAATAAAAGAAAGAAAATGAAATAAGTTGTAAATAAAAATAAAATAATAGAACAATAAAATAAGCAATTAAAAACAATTCATACAGTATCATTTATGGCAGAGTCAGACTGATACAATTAATGCACAGCATTAAGAATTTTAAAGGCTAGGATTATATGTATGGTACAATTCCATAACACAACAGATATTGGCACAGAAGCTACAAATTAATCCATCACAGTAAATGGGTACTGTAATATCTTTTGGCATGTTACAAAGAACGTATGTGTATGTGTGTGGATGTTTGTGGATAGACAGAGAGAGAGACAGGGAGAATCAGTGGTTGAGAGTATGATGCCTATACCATACTTTAGAGAAGCAGCATAAATTATGCAAATTGTATTACTGGATATTTTACTTCCTTTTATTTGGGAATATAGTTTTTCACAGAAAATACATTGTTCCTTACAAGTTGAGGAATAGCAGAAGAAACTACAAGGCTTCAGGTTACCATGCAATATACCCACAAAATGTGGGGAACTTATATGTATGATTGTGTAAGAGAGAGAGAGAGAAATCTGCTAAAATGGCTGCAGTCCAAATTTCCAGCCAATGCCAATAAAAATAGATCTGTCTGTCATTCTTGGAGTTGTACTGGTACATTTTCAAGGATCTTTGATCAGGGAGAATGAAAAACTATCATTTAAACATTAAATAAGATCTGAAACAAGACTGAATTTTCCAACAATCAAATAGTTTCCACAACTAATAAAACCAGCTACATATTATGGCCAACTTGCAAAGATGCTTAAAACTGAACACACAAGTTGTACAAATGTTCTTCCTACTTGGCTGAAAAATTAATTTCTAAGGTGTCTGATTAGCATTTAAGTACTTCACAAGTCAGGTATAAAATTTAAAGAAGATTCCATTGGATAGATAGATATTCAGGAATCTAAATTATCTTATTCTTTGTATCATGAGCATATTTGTCTTTTCCTATAAAAGAATGTGACTTTAAATAAATAAGTAGATAAACAAATATTTTACCCTGCATATCCCGGATAATCCTCTGTAGCTGAGTTTCACCACTACTTCTTGCCATTGTTGAAACTAAAATGTGGAGATTGCTCTTTTCAATTTCTCACAAGGCTAGGTGAAAAAGGAAGAGTTCATGTTGTCAATAATCTTCAGGTTAGTGGTAAGTAGTTATTTCTTCAGTATCTTTACGTCTAAAAAAAACAATATTTACTTACAATTGCTAACATTCTAATTTTTAAAAGTCATGTTTAATGTCTACATAGTTTTTTTAAAATCGTATTTAATGTTGTTTTCCCCTCCCTCAAATTATCAATTTCTCAAGATTTAAGACAAAAATCATCAAGGTTTTCATCCTAGGAATCTGTATTTTTAAAATGTTTTTCTGAAGGATCTAAAAAACATATTCCAAAACATGGTGATATCATAAAAGGTCTTTTTCATTTTCTTTTAAAGTTTGAAATGGTAAACTCTAAATAGGTATGTATTCATTTGGCATCTTTGAGGGGGAAGAAACAATAATAATCCAATATTGAAAATTAATGGCATAGATTCAGTTTGGGGACCATGACAAATTTAGGCATAGACGCACATTATAAATAAGGCATCTAAGTATCATTTTCAATGCTTTCATTGCAACTCTATGAAGTTTCAATCTATGGCATATTTCTTGACTACTAGTTCCTTGACAGTTGACAGTTGATCCTGAAAGGCAGAAAACATCATTGTCAGTTCTAAGATCATATTGTGGAATGGTTGAGTTTGCTCTTCCGTTTCAGGTGACTTGGAACTGGCACATAAATTATTTATAATGTGTTCTGCATTCAGCTCCTGGCTACATCTTTGTTGTGATAACTAAAGAAGAAGACTGACATTATCACAAAACAAATGTCTTGCTGAAGATCAGCATTTTCAGAAAAATTATATACCATCAGCTAATTCGTAAATAAAAAGTATTTTGGTAAAATTGTGTTTAGAGAACTCCAAAAAGCTTTGACTAAAGTTATCGCTAACAATTCCTAAATAAATGTAATATAGTGCTAGAGGGAGCGTTTTGAGTGAGCAATGAAATAGCTGATTTTTTTTGATGACCTACTTTCATTTAGGCTTTTAAGACGAAAGGAATAATAAAGATATCTGCACGCTATGGAGATGCATACTGAAATGACAAATGCAGCCCAACTTAGCCAGTTCTAAGTAACTCACACTGAGGTGAAATATGTGGTCTGAGCTAAGAAGTATTGTGGTCCTTCACTTGTAATCAATTTTGCCTCAGTGCCAAAAGCAAATCCCGTGATGGGGATCATTACAGAAAGAATAAAAAATAAATTAAACATAACTGGTTGTATTGAAATCTGCTGGCTCACGTTTCAAAAATACATTGTAGAGTTGAATAAAATAAAATGTTGAAAAGATACTCAAAGTTATGAAAAGGCTGGGGCAAATTCATTGAGAGGAAAGCCTGCAGGTTTTTCACTCTTTCAAATGAGCACTAAATCTGTGTCTGGGAATAGCCCAACTGGCAAGTCACAGGTGTGGAACATGTCCATGTCTGCAACCTGTTAAGCAACTTCACAGATGGCTAAACACACCACACCTGTCTCTCTTTATCCAACTTCACCCCCGCGATATAAGGAAGATAGATTTATTGTTGTGCTCTTGTGACCATATATGTAGGTGAGAAAACAAAACAGCCAGAGGAATCCTGGATTTTCTTTAAGCACCAAATTTTTTTCCCGCATACATTTCTGCCGTTTTAGGGCCATTTGGCCATACCTTTACTCATAATTGACCAAGCCCACTGTTTATTCAATAGCCCGTTTGTGCCCTAACACGTTCTGCTCACGCATCTAAATACCAGATGCAATCCAGCAAACATTTTCTCAACCAAAAGAGTTGCAGCCAATAGTCTTATTTAACCGGGGGCAAATGGAAGAAGAATCCGTCCACCTGCTTGCATTAACTAGTTGCTTCCCTAGAAATGCAAAGGGCCTGACTGCTCCTTCATTCCTCTTGGATCTTCGCTTTCTCCAATCGATGTTGCGCTCAAACTCAAAATATTTATCTGCTGTTTGGGGTGGTCGTCCTGTTATCTAGAGCCTAAACTCCGGCGGTTGTTTCCGAAATCATAAAGAAAACACTCCAGACCGAAGAGCGAGCTGCAAAGCGACGGACTAGAACCCTTTGGAAAAACGGGTAAGTGACCGGGACGTCGTTCAAAAGCGAGTGCTTGGAACAAGGCGAAAAAGAAACCAAGGCCTGTGTGAATTAGTAAGTTATGCTAAAAAGTAAAATGGGACGCTTTTCCTGCCATTTTAGCCTTGTTAAGCCTCGCCGCTTTCAACAATCATCATAGCCAGGGCACTCCAGCGCAATCAGTAAAAAAAAGCAACAAGTGGAAGTATTAAAGTTGCTGCCATAAGGAACTGACACCCAAAAACAAAGTAGATAGATCAGTTACCACCAGCCACTTTCTGGAAAAGAAATCACCTTTATCGGGGCGCTTGCTCCAGGTGGTGAATGGAGGAAAGGGGGTGGCATGATTACTCCAACGAAAGACAAACGCACATTACCTCAAACTCAAGGCAGCCATGACATAGCTAGCATCTCCATATTTTCCTACGATTCCCATGATTCACAGTGGCAAAAAATAACTCCCGTGGCTCTTCCGGGCAACTTTTTTTTTAACCCTTTAACTGCAAACCATAAACAGTTTACTGAAAAGCTACTCGGGTTTTTTGTGTATGTGAGATTGCAAAAATCAAAGTTCTTGAACATTGATATACTAATATATCTCTTTATGATTGAGAATTGGCTTAATAAATGTATCGATCCACCAACGGTTTGGAAACTTTACAACTTTACTGGAGTTTTATGGGGGGGGTGTTAATGTTTTTTTAATTTCAGTATTTATCCCATTCCAACCTTTTCCCAAGTGTTGCCTACAGACTCAGGCATCTTGAGCTTGACGTTTGGCTCGAGCCAAGAAATTGATCCCCGAATTTGAGAGAGACTTTTGTTTCGCAGAGAGACATCTTTGCCTATCTAAAAATACATATCACCAAGTAATTCAGGCAAAGCAAAAAAGCATTTATTATGGGGGTACCAAATTCTTTTATTGGATACAGAAACAAATGATATGTATACATTTGTGTACATAATATATCAGAAAACAAGTTATCAAACAATAAAACCCATGGGCCAAGGTATATGGCTGGATGGTCATCAGCATCATCGATGTGAGACTTGAACAATAGAAAATATTGATTCTGAATAACTCTCCACAAGGGGCAAATTTATAGGTTTCCCAGCTGGGTTTATATCTTTGTTAAAATACTAGACCACACAGGAGATGCTTAAAAAATGGATTTTTGGGGGAAGGCCTGGCAAACTGAAGTTGTCTTGGAATAAGAAGATCCCATAAGCATGGCAAAGACCAAAGAACCATGAATAGATCTCCAAGGTGAGTAGATCTGGAATCTTTCCTAATAGATGGAGGATGGGATATTGTTCACATGTGCTCCGACAGCTGCTTCTCATGACAGCAGTCTTATATACAAAGTTAGAGTGCCAGAAAATGAAGGGATTAACCAATGATGACACAGATTTCTGTTGGAAGAAAAGTCTTCATCCTGGTTCATCCAAGCTGGGAATAAACATGGCAACTGCTTTGGGAAGAAGGTTGTAGTTTATTGGAAAGGAGAACCAGACAGGAAGATGGTTCTGGCAGCAAAGAGGAGAGAAAAAGGGCTGAGCACATGTATGAAGTAGGTTTTTTATAACCTCTGGAGCTTTTTGTTTGGGGTTATTTCCTGTTCCTGTTTTGAGGCTATTTCCTGTGTCATGTATTCTGACCTGAGTTTGGGTGTGCCCTTTGGCTTTTGTGAGTTAATCGTACCATGTCCTGTCCCAGGTGGGGCATGCAGATTTTAGGTCAGTGATGGCAAACCTATGGCACGGGTGCCAGAGGCAGCACTCAGAGCCCTCTCTGTGGGCATGCACGCCGTCACCCCAGTCCTAGGCCTTCAGCTGGGTTTTATAAAACCTTTTTGCTTTAAGCCTCTGCCGCTGTGTACAAAAAAAAAGATTCAATCAGTCAATTTCAACTTCTCGCGGGAAAAAAAAGATCTTGCAAAGTTGGAATTGATTGATTGAACCTTTTACACTCACCCAGTCTGCTGTTACCACCGCAGCCACACCCACCCAATGGGCCACACCCACCCAGCACCCGATGATACATAAGTGGGTTTTGGGTTGCAGTTTGGGCACTCAGTCTCTAAAAGGTTTGCCATCACTGTTTTAAGTCTTTGTCTTCCTAATCTCCTAGCTCCAACCTTCCTGATGATTTACATCTGCATTTGTACAGAGCTGGTTTCTGCTTGGGGGAGGCAGACTTGGGATTATTAAGAAAAACTGGGCATGCTTTTCTGTCTCTTTAAGATCCTTGGAGGAAATATATTTTTCTGCCCTTTTTAATATTTCCTTCTCTGGGGGGCTGACTTTCCACACTTCTAAAGGACATTGTGATGACTTCCCTGGATGCCAGCTCAGACAACGAGGAAGAACTGGCTCTGGAGACTTTGGAGTGGGGTGTGGAGGAGTGCTGGGAAGTCAATGAGGGCTCCAAGCCTGGAGTGGAGAGGCCAGGCACAGTGGAGAGAATGCTGGAGGGGCAACCGGATGAATGGCCAGCTGAAGAAGGAAAAGGAGAGGCACTGCTGTAGCTGGAAAGCTCAGAGACCCGTGGGCAAAGTGGAGAAGATATGCAGCTGCAACTGGACAGCAGGGACAAGGAAGAATTGTCTCTTCTGCCTAATTCATGGACACACAGGGTTGAGCGGAGGCAGTTAAAACATAGGTTGCTGAGGCTATTCGTGAAGCAGCAATCTTACTTTCCTGATGAGCTGCACTGGTGAGCACCTATTTAATCAGATGAATGGAGCTGGAGGTTATTGGAAACAACTGGCCATTCTCCTGCTATGCACATATTTCACTTTTGGATCTTGGTTTTCTTGACTCCAGATTGTTCTGATGACTGTGGATTTGGATCTTGGACTTGCTCATGGATTTTGGACCTTTGCCTTGGACCCCTGGTTGGGCTTGGGCTGTGGACTCTGTGGACTTTGCCCTTGGATCCAGTAACTTTGTACCCTGACGGAGCAGTATTGGACTTCCTAGGACTTTTCAAATGGGTGGGAGTGGGTGTCTTGGGGATTCACATTAAGGGTTTGGATTTTCAATAATGCCTTTAAACCTTTGTGCATGTCATGCATGTGGACTGAAACAGGATAGGTGCTAAGTTCACAAGCCTCATTTTCCAATCATTTTTGGAAACTGCATATTAGAGATTTTCAGAATGAAAACTTTGAAAAAATGCTGAGTAGGTTTAGCTTCAACTCTGAGCAAAATAAGAACTTAATTGCAGGCTTAAGAGTTAAAAAAAATAGATAAACAGCAAAAACCTAATAAGATTTTGATCTAAAAAGTTATAAACAGTTTAAGAATCTAGTTAAATTTGAAATATTGACATTTACTATAAGTTTTTGGAATTAACTACTATTGATAAATAGTTTCTTATGGGGATTTGCGGTTCCAGATCGCGGCATCTGCAGCCGGGCGGAGAGACTGCTCTGTTTGCCGTCTGTTTTCTCTCTGCCGGTAGACCCTTAATCGGGTCGAAAAGTTGCCCTGGAGGGGCGACTACCGTTGAGGAGGCCTCGTCGATTGTGGAAGGGTGGCAGCTCCTTCCGCGGTCCGAGAATGCTCCTTAGGGCCAACGGAGGAAAGATCAGCCAGTAAAATGGCCGATCACTTTGCTGCTGTAACCAGAAGTCAGAAGAACATCTAAGCGCAAGAACCACCGTGGTTGATCCGGGTGAGATTTTTTTTCTCTCTTAGTCCTCTTTTCTTTTTTGCTTCCTGTAAAAAACATTTTTGGAACTATTTCCCTGCTTTAAGAAAGTGGCATTTGTGAGTGTGGGAAAAGAAGCTTAAATGGACTGAAAATTAACTTTAATTGTATTCTTTATTTTTCCATCTACTTTGGGGTCTTGAAAAAATTTCTATTATTAAACTTATTACTGGATTTAGTCTACATGTGAAGAATATAGTTTTTTCTTTCCTTTTCTGATCTTGTTAACGATATTTTGATGTTTGGGAAGAGATTTTACAGTCTACTGAGGACACCTTGTGGAGAAAGTTAAAATTGCAACTGTCTTTTTTCCCTGTTTGATGTTGAGACTGGCTTGACCTTCAGATCATCATAAAAGAAAAAAGACAAAGAAATTCAACAGCTGTATTTGTGGGGGTGGACACTGGTTAAATGTTTTTTTGAATACAGCCTCCACTAAAAGATAACAGGACTGTTTCTAATCACTATCGAAATAGAGAAACCTATTCACAACTCAACTGTAAACCTATATTGAAAAAAAATTATGAAGCCACTGAGTAAATACGTTTACAAATAAAAGAGAGTACTATAGAAATAAAAAAACAGAAATTTTATTTTGAACCTACAAACTGACCTCCAGATTTTATTTGAACATTCTTTTTTTAATTTTTATTTTTCCTTTTTCTCTTTACAAACAAACAAAATGCACAGTACATTTTTTCTTTTTTCTTAACAATACTATGTCCTACATCTCTTACATTTATTTACATTATTTCTCATACTTTTTTATTCCTCAATTCTAACCAGTTATAGTACATGTCCCATATCTCATAGAATTCTGTAGCTTCTTTGTCTTTTAATTTTAAGGTAAGTTTGTTCATCTCAGCACAATCTAATATCTTACATATAATCATTGCATTTGTTGGTATATCCCTTTTCCAACATTGCGCATATGCAATGCGTGCTGCAGTTATAATGTTTAATGATGTATTAGAGTCGTTTCTCGATTTTTGGGTTAATTATGCCTAATAAAAATATTTCGGGTTTGAGTTCAATTTGTTGTTTTGTTATTTCCTGTAACCATCTCCTAATCTGCTCCCAATAGGTCTTTGCTTTGGAAACATATGATAAAATGTTCCTTCTTTATTTTTACATTTCCAACATTCCGGATTCATATTTTTGTATATTTTAGCCAATCTTGCCGGTGCTAAATGCCATCTGTAGAACATTTTATATTGGTTTTCTTTGTATGCAGTTGACAACGTTAATTTGTAATTTCTGTTCCATGTTCTTTCCCATTCATCTAATCCTATATTTCTGCCTATGTTTCAGGCCCATGCTATCATTGGGCCCTTTACTATTTCTTCTTCCAATTCAATTTCTAATAGGAGTTTATAGGTTTTTATTAAAAAAATTTCTCCCTTACTTGTCAATATTTTATCCAATTGTTGTGATGTCCGATTTATCCCATACTCTTCTATATCTTTATTATATTTTGATTTTATCTGTGTATATGGCCACCAATCAATAATTATTCCCTGTTCTTTTAATTCATCTCTTGATCTTAGCTTCCCTTGGTTGTCTAATAATTCTTTATACCTTATCATCTTTGTTTTGTCTAATGTGTTTGGGTGAATCATCGCCTCCATTGGTGAGATCCAAATTTGAATTTTTGTGTAATATTTTTTTTAACTTTTTCCCATATCCAAATTAATGCACCCCTTATCTGATGTCGGAAGAAATATGTGTGAGTTTTCTTATCTTTTCTCCATAGAAAAGCATGCCATCCAGCCTGTAGATCATGACCTTCAATTGTTAAGATCCTTTTATTTTCTAAATTTATCCAGTCACTGATCCAAAGCAATCCCGCTGCTTGATAGTAGATTTCCAATTTTGGGAGCCCAAGGCCACCTCTACTTCTACTATCCTGTAACGCTTTAACATTTATTCATGCTTTTTTACCCAACCATATACATTTATTAATCATTTTATTTAATTCATTAAAAAAAATTCCCAATTTTATTGGAACTGTTTGAAAAAGGTATAATAATTTTGGTAAAACATTCATTTTAATCGCCGAAATCCTTCCTAACAATGATAATTGTAGTTTTCCCCAAATCTCTAAATCTTTTTGTATTTGTAGTATCAATTTTTTTATAATTATTTTCTTTTATTAAGGAACATCTTATGGTGAGCCAAATTCCTAAATATTTAATCTTTTTTACAATTTGCAACCCAAATTTTCTTCTAATCCCCTTTTTTGTTTTTCAGTTAAATTTTTAACTAATATTTTAATCTTTTCTTTGTTTATTTTTAGTCCCGCCACCATTCCATATTTTACTATTTCATTCATTAAAATATTACCTCTTTCTAATGGTTCCTCTATAAAGAACACCAGGTCATCTGCAAATGCCTGTATCTTGTATTCTTCTGTTTTAACCTTTAATCCTTTTATCTCTTTGTTATTTCTGATTTGAATTAGTAGCACTTCTAACGTTAGAATAAAAAGTAGAGGTGACATTGGACATCCCTGTCTTACTCCTTTGTTAATTTCTATCTGTATTTTCCCCATT